GTATGGAGAATGGTAAACTGATATCAAGATGCGTTAGTTCCAAACACATACAAATTGTACCAGAGATGACATTATACTATTGTTTTGTGTTTCGTCAGCTCCTATTGTTATCTTTTTGGTTCTGTGTCTCCTAAGTTCCCATTGTTGCCTTTTTGTATATACCTTAATAGTCAAGTTTGCTCCTGATTTTGACGGTTAAGTACATTGTTTAAAATGAATTTCAGACTATGACAAATTAGTGATATAGGTTTATGCAGGTAACACGCGCTCATATAAATTGTCTGGTTTTGTATTCAATATAAGCTGAAGCCATATCTACATTTATGTATGATCTCTCATTACATATCCTCTTTGTATAAAGATCGCGTATTGAAAGTCTAATTTGTATACCCCCACTAGGTGAAGGGGTATATAGTAATTACTTTGTTTGTACGTCCGTACGTTTGTGAATGAATCTGTCCGTCCGTAGTAAAGAGGTTGTGTACAAGATATCTAATTCGTTGATATTTACACCACAGTTTGGTAATAATGAGCTCTCCAACTGGTTTAACTTTGGTGGTGATCGGTCAATGTTNNNNCTGTACATAATATGTTTAAGTTATATCTTATTATAGACTTTATTTACGAGTATCGTAACCTGGCTGTTATGATGATTGTTTTTGGTGACTATTTAGAGGACCTGTTTTCACCCCATTTTTCGACATTTGATTGGAACTGATAACCTTTTTGGCATTTCATGCCATTTGACAGGTGCAAGTAATTATAAACTGACCGATGTGTTATGATAGTATATTTTATTATACAATAGGTTTTAATTACTGTGGTACTAACATGGCTGTTATGTTGGGTACTGACGGAGACTGATGTGTTGTCTGATGATCCAACACTCCCCGCTTACGGAGCCCGAACAGACACCAGAGGACAGCTTTTAGCACTGTCACCATGGCTGACCTTTCTGTATCCAGGTATTTTGTTTGATGGTAATGTCCTGCTAAGACGATAGTTTTTAGCTCGCGATTTGTAAGTAATTGGCAATGTAATGTACTGTATACATTTCATACTTGATGTTCTTTCAGTTTTACGTATAATGCAGTACAATCAATTTCTTGGCATATTGTATCTATTATTAAAGGTGCAATACAATGTATGCGTATTACGTTTATTTTATACAAGTTTACTGTTCTGCTTAGCATATTCCAAAAAACAAAAATTTGTATCATGATTTTTCTATTCTTCCATGGATGTAGGCAAAGGTTTTTGATGTTTATAGTTATTATAAAGACTTCATATGTATGAATAGTACTAATAAATGACATACCTACGACAATACGCTAAACCATAGATTATGTTATATGTAGCTTGCTATATAATTAACAAACAGTGTCAGAATGTAACGTGCTAAACTATGCTCGAATGGTGTTACAATGAGTACTGTATTATCTGTTACATAAAAGATGATCGATGCTATTTGTAATTACAAAACTCAATCAATTAATGTTTTCCTTTAGCAATAATATTTCTGTTGTTGTTCTTACACCAGATCGTTTAATATATGAAAGTCAAAACGACATAGATTGTATATTTCTACACATAGAAATTCTCAGATAAAATCATTTTTATGTTTTGATAATGTTTTGATCGACCTTCACATGACATCAACCTTGACAAGTCGCTAAGTTGTTCCTTAAGGACACGATATTAATTTAAGGAAAAAATACCATTTATTTTTTATTTAGCATGTAAAATATTTCGGTACGCCAAATTATTGAAGTGAGCACATTTCCTGTGCATTGCTAAATGTTCGGCTGTATGTACTTTTAACACTAGTAAAACTGGACTCACGTTTTGTTACATAGATATTGGTGATAATGTAAAGATCACCATTTAGTTAATGTTATCACACTTTCTTCACAATGAATGAAAGGGTAACGTTTGAAATCGGTTTAATTTAGGCTTTTGATTAGCGGTAAATATTTGAAAAATTCAAGCTATATGTTAGTTTATTAACTTTTTCAACGTTTCTCTCGTTCTAAACATGAAAGGCACAATGTATTAATGAAAGATAGTCCATTCGTCATTACAGGTAAAATTAATTTGTCGGTGGGGGCCTGCTGGAGTATTAAAAGGAGACCCATTCTGTATTGATAGGTAACGCTTCAGCTGACCAGGTCTTGAAACTCATTTTTAGGACGCAGATGTTTGTTGCTGGAGTCATTGCTGTCGTGTTAGACAACACTGTTAAAGGTATTATGACTAAATCATATCGCATTATGATTAAAAAAATTGTTTATTATTTTACAGTTAGGGAAGGTCAGCATATATTATTATAAAGAATCCGATCTTAACATTTTCCCTTTTTTATGCCAATAAATGAATATTTTTTCAGATTTATTCAAAACATTATTACAGATGAGTTATCGCTATTTTTTTGATAATTTGCAAACATAGTTTACATTCTTTTTGCAATGAATTAAAAGCAGGATAGCACTAGGATATTTGTTACTGAGTAAGTTTTACTCTTAAAAACCCATACACGATTTGAGTTTCATGACGTCAGGAACTGGCGGATGATTATGATATGTTATGAACAATGAATATCAGAGACATAGTTTGGCAGTAATATGCACAAATGAGATTTTAAATATTTAAGGGGATTACGAGAGTATTGAACGACAAAGCAAGTTGAATTCGTTTAATTGATTCAGGATAGTCAGGCACTCAGCGAGTGTCAGTTTTAACGTAATTTTAGGATAGTTCGCTAAGCAATCTTTTCAGTCCTTTTATAAATCGACAACTTCAAATCAATTTCAGGTAGCAATAAAGAAAGAGGCACTGCAGAAATGGCTTCATTTGATACAGCGACTAAAGATGGGATTTCTTTGAGCCAACTCAACAGAGTGTATGATGTACCTGGCGTAAATTGGTTACAGCAAAATGTCCCACTGTTTCGTCATATTCCTTTCCTACAAGCCTATGTACCAATGAGATGAAACCACTATTGAACGATAATAAGTTTTATTTTACTTTAGTATTTTTTCAGACAAAAACATATCAAAGACACATTCTTCTTTTTGCATAATAGGCGAGCACATTATATCATTATTAATTTGGACATTTTTTTTAACTTTTAAAGCTTTAAGCAGTAACATTATGTAAGAATCCTATTGGTATAAGACTCTCTGTGCAGATAAATAAACTTTAAAATAACAAGACCAACACACATATATTGATAATAATAAAACAAGAACCTTTTCTTTCTTTGTTTCAATAATTCAATATTCCAAGGTACGCGTGCAATAGGAAAAGAGCGATAGGCCCTGTAAGTATTCGAAAAACACGTTAAGTGCCCAGCTTTTAAAGCCAACATATGTCTTTAACAGTGTTTAGTAAACTCTTCAAGGAACAACATGCATGTTATATATAATATTTTTATTACTTACAGCATCACATGTTGTATTTAAAACAAACACTTTTGTCATAATGAAGTTTTTATTATGTATTATTTTTAATTATTGTAGTGACATTTTTTGTCCATGACCGCATACATTTCTATGAAATTGATTTGCAGTATTGTGCAAACGTGTCGATTTTACATGTTTTAAAATCCGTTGTTGTTAAGTATTATGTAGATTCCGAAGTGCTGGTCAGCCTTAATATATTTCCTATTTATTTTAAAAGACATTCATCGAAATAATATATCTTGATATTATAAACATGGCGGATATCATGATTAAAGGCGATTTTGCCATAACCCTAATGAAACTCCCATCCATATGCAATGTACAATATCCCTGCTTGATGATAAGTTATGTGTTGGCAAATAAATAACATAAACAAAGGTTACTGTTATTTATTTATTTTTTAATTTTTGATATACAATTACACGTAGAAGCTTTGCCACATCAAAAATATATAAACTAAATGCAAACAGAACTTAACAAAAGACCACAAAACATACATATTTGCCTTGAAATCCTATCAAAGTCAAACAACAGCAAAACAATAAAATTATTCCAAGGATAGATAACGAAACATTTAAATCTGTTCACTCGTTACATTATATATGTCGCCGGAGCAAGTCAATTATATACACATGCTTATTCTTATTCTACCTACATGTTTCTCTTATAAGAGTTATGTGGTTCACAACTCTAGGTTCATACTTGTTATCCAGTTTCACGCAGCTATTGTGTACAGACATTCGGCTTGGCGGTGCGGTCGGTTCTATAATCATTGAATTTTACCCCTGTTCAATCTTAACCTACTTAAAACATCTGGTATTTATATCTTTTTATCGACTATCTTCACAGATATCTGGAGCAATTCTGACACAGAACATTTTAAGTATTTTGTGCTATGAACAATACACTTTATATTTTCACTGCATTACCACCAGATTTACAAAATATTGATATACTTTGATTAATGTTTGTTAGGTAGCAGTGTACAGTAGCGTACGGTGGCCATGGGCGATATTTTTGTTTAATGAATAACCCCTGTAATATGACATGTATCAAAAAAAAATCGGCTCTAAAATTGGCATTTACATGATGAATTGGACTATGTTAGCTTCACATTTAAAGGGGGAAAAAAAATCGAATTCGGCTTGAGACTCCATTTTTCGCTATTTACAAATCTGTGTCTACACAACAAAACCTAGCTTTTCATGTAGTCTATTTTTGTACTCATCAGCACATGTGTAAATATTGTGAAAATTCCAGTTGAACGACCTATGCTATAACGTGAGTATTTCTGTTACCGAGTAGGTGATATTTAATTTAAGACAGGTTTTAAGAAAAAATACTACTTGCGTGGGTCAAATTTTGGGTCACAAATCATGTTTTTTTGCTTTTGCATTTTTTGGCGTTTTTTGATGTGGTAACCATGGTTTTCACAAGTCACAAATCTGGGGAAATCACTTTTTGAAAAAAAGTCATTCTTCTAAAAAAACCTGTTCAAAATGTAGTTTTTAACTATATATATATATATATGTAGGTGTGTTGTGCAGGATGCATCCGCTATCCATGTTTATCCGATACATGCCCTTTATTATTAGGATCAAGCAATTTCTACTGTATGCTGCTTCCTTATTCTTTTTTCATCCACATTTATAAGGTGTTTTTTTTATAAAATATTCAATATTTCTGGTCTTTTTCGCATTACCTTGCCGGAATGTTATCAGAGACAAGAACTCCACGGTCCTAAATAATTTATGTATAATTTTTATCATTATAAAGACTTATGTCTAATATATCATTTAAGTTCATACATAATCAAGCATTCCTTACAAAATTAAAGTCTTTGCATAAAGACATCCTACGCTATTCATCATTTTCATCTATGAGTGTTTTGATATATGTTATCTAACTCTTTAAACACCATTCAACAAATACTGTATGAAATAGGTTTTTACAACCTGACCATCGTTTCGATGTCATGTCCGTGATGGACATAAGATGCCGTGTATTCTACATTTTCATTATACATAAACAAGTGCAATACATAGTGAAGTTATAAGTTTATGTATATATATGTATATACATATGTTTATCAGTCTCATTGTACTTATGTTTAAGAGGAAATTTTTCAGAGGCAACATAATTAACTTCAAAACATAATTCTATCATTAATTTTCCTGATACAGTATTACGCAAAGGTATCCATTTTGTAATGCCCATAAAAAATCAATCATTTTTCTGTGTGTAGAAACAGTAATAAATATTTTATTGCTTAATGTAAGAAACGCTTTATCTTCTTTTAACCACATGTTGACATTATTGTCAAAAACCTTGTTCTTAACATTATATACTTAACTTGTTATTTGATCGCCGGTATGTATGAACTTTGTTATTCGAGCCATTTTGTCGAACACAAATATAGAAGGACAATCTTGAATCATTTTCACTGTAACAAAACAGAATTGGAACCTTTTATTTTAAAACACGTTAGTTTCGATGGGCAAGTTGTTGATTTAAGTGAAAATAATAATTTTACGACAATTGTGGGTTTCACGTCGTGACATAAAAGATAAAATTCAAGAAACAACTTTCTCACTACCGCTCACATTTCATCCAACACTGTTAAAGTTATATCAAATAGTATACAATACATGATCTACATGTGTAAAAGACAATCAAATATAATATCATTCATAGTACTACTATTTCGGCTTCATGGACCTGCTTCAAGGGCGAAAGTCAACGGTGAATCAATATAACATCCATCTTGATATTTCTGAAGAGGGAAAAATTACTGTTGATTTTGCCTTTGAAGAAGTTTAAGATGCCGGAATATTGATATTATGAGTGATAACTATTTTACCTCACACCAAGAAATCCCTGATAATGTTTAGGATCGCCTCTTACAGGACAGAATGTTTCTGCTTATTTATACAGTGACGCTAGAATTTGTACATATATGCATATAATTAAAACTGTAACATGCTATTTCATCTCTTCAGAATATATTCTAGAAAAGAAACAGTTTCTTTTAATTATTTGGCAAGAAATAATGCTTTATGATCATGTTGAATTTGACAAATGAGAATCCCGCAATACAAGATCTAATGAATAATCGTAACAGTTACATTCTTCATTCTAAGTTATCATACTAGCAATAGGCACTGATACTGTTGATCTAACTTCATCTTTAGTGGTTCTTTTTCTGTAAGTTATTTGGCCTAGAATACCTGCCCAAAGTACCATTTCACTCCGCTAGACAGCGCTCATTGATAAGTATAAAGTTTAGGGCTATGATCCGGAATAAACGAACGCTGATTGGCAATTCAATCAACGAATTCTGAGTATGGTTTTAGATTCGGAATTCCCTCTTGGTTGCATTGGAAAGGGTGTATGAGATAATGTGCTGATGTTAATAAAAAGGCATTCAGAATACTTAACGCCCCGAGATAAGTCTTTAAAAATTAACGTTTTATTTATGGTTTCTTTCATGTACCGTTTCAACTGACAGGGTCTTGTCATCGTCATTGATGCATGATTGAAAGTAACAAACACTTCGATTGACACAACTATTCTTGATTTAAGAAGTTAGAAATTTAAATTCCTCCCGCAAAAATATTCTATACGCCATCTCGGAAAGGATTATACACGTTGGAGATATAAATATCGGCTATTCAAAAAATCTACATCTATATTAAATACGATAAAACCGTTTGTAATAAAACAATCACTGCACAATCCCTGATGAAATGGACTATTCTGAAAAGTAAATACATCTTTCTCCTGCATAAAAATCGTTTTAACCTTTTGGTAACTATCTTAACCTTTTTTTTTATATAAGCACCATTGTATATAATACCAAGTCATCAGCTTTACCTTAGGCTACAAAACGTTTACATAGTACGATCACAAACAGTAGGAAAGTTACTGGAGTGTTTTTATGAGATGTTCCAGAAGTAGCAGAAGATTTCCTTTCAGGAGTTATTCCTCTTCGAGTGGGGCAGGCATGTGACCAGCCTGGACGTTCCCGCAAGTTTTCTGTCTGTAACCAGTCACTAAGAGGTTGGAAATATTTAAGTAACGGTCCGACGTCCATCTTACTTTGACCAGTCAATTTCTTCATAGCTTCTGGCCAGGGAACAGATGACCCAAGTTTTAGCGTGTCACTGTTGAATGCCAAATGGAAGATTAAGAACGCATTAATTATTGTTTTGTAAAATATATACTTACCTGTTTGGAAAATACGCGCAGGTTGGTTGTAAGAAAATGGCAAAAATATATATATGTCGATTTTTTTCCAACTACTGACATCGATATACTTTGTATGCGTATCATTATTATTCACTCATTGATGAAAATGGTTGCTTTTTAAAAGGTTTAACTTTTTTTATAATTTCTAAAAGGGAAAGTAAAAAAATGAATGATAATCTTGCAAACACACATGTCTGCAATTGCTTTTAGCTTAGCGAGTTCAAAACCATAGAAATGGTATATCTTCTTTAAACATGTTACATACTATTATTACAATTAGTGCGTGTATTTATGTTTTATTTCATTTTTTTTTTCTCTGCCTGATTAAAGTAAAAGATAGTTGAGCGAGAGTCACTGCATTAGTTTTTCCACAGCCTTAAACGTATACAAGACGTTTTTGCTGTGTCACTTGACATGTGTTTAGGGTATCTGTGTTTCATACACCAACGACAATTTTGTCTCCGCAGACTGATAGATATGTGTGGTTAATAGCGAAACTTACCTCAGTAGTTTACCAGCTTCTTTAGACTGGTATATGCCACACTTGTGTAGGGGACCTGTTTGTCCAGCTGCGTCGCATAGTACCTTATGGAACTGGAACTGCATTACAGAACTGACAAAATGCCTGTGGAGATAGACGAAAGAAAAATACAAACAACTTTGATTTTCTTCGACACTTATTTTACTGAAGGATTTGAAAAAAAATATGTTAGTCTACTGCAAATATTAATTAAAAAAGCCATTCGGATTGATCTGTCTTGCCTGTGCCCTGCTTTGACCATCAATGCACATGCACAGGCCATAACTTTTAATATACAACAGATACGTACAAAATTAAGTACCAAAAAGGCAAGTATAGAATGCTTACCTGACGAAATCCTTATTGGCTGGAATATCATATATCGCCCCAGGGTCGAAATCCTCCTCAGTTCTCTCCAGAGGTGCAGACACACCCTGGTACCTACATCTGTGAGTGAATGGACGTAAATCATAAGTACATGTATCTACATATTAACTAAAATATACACTCTAATATAAATGATAAGTTGGTGAGAGTGAGCGTTACATCATGAACTAGGACAATATAGCTCGTGAATGTATTTCTAGCAATCTTGTGTATACAGACTCGAATTGCGAGATATGTCATTCCTATTTATGACGTATCATGATTAGATCTTTATATTAAGAACCTCAATGTAAATAATTTGACCTATACACATTATCATGATAAAACCCGAGTACATGTTGTGGTACATTTACTGCGATAAACGATTTGTACTACGGTAACCACTGTGATAATCCAACTGTATGTTGTGCCTTGATGGAATAGTGTAACAATGCATGATTGTATGATAAAATTGCCCTTATGCAATATGTACCATCAAATATACTTGTTACTATTATATTATCAACATAAAGGCTCACCTGAGCTGCCACCATTTTTCATTGTACTGTTCAGGAGTTGTCTCCCCTTCAAACACGCTCCATCGCCACTGATCAACCAAATACCCAAAGGGCAGGAATGCAATCTTTTCTAGAGCCATCATCATGAGAAAGTTGATGTCCGCTTCTAAATAAAAAAAAAATCAGACTTGTCAGACTTGAATGTTTGTACTAGCCCCAGTCTAGCCGCATGTATTATTGATATCCCATGCTTGCTTTCCAAACCTGTATTCACCCTAGAATATCGTGCTATTAATATATGTGTTGGCATCTCGAAAAACCAATCCTTTAGTGTAAAAATAGACATCAATGTCGAAGCATCAGTTATCAACTAATAAGGTTCAATATATAACTTACTGATATCATCCTGTTGGGAACTAGTATTAACCAGCCCGATTTTTCTAAGATGTGATGGTGTGGAAACAGACAATGTTACGGCATCACCTATTGCTTCAGGGAAACCTGGAATAAATTTTACTTGATATAAAAGTCCCATTTCATATTATTGCGGTTCATGTTTTATCAAATTCTGGATATTATCTACTACTTAATCATCATATCAAACAGCTAATAGGAAAGATGAATGCAAGACATACACATGCGATTACAACTTTAAGGCATTTGGTAATATATCTGAAAATAACTTTTATACTGGAGGATGGATGGAATTATGTAATGACCTTTTTGTTTTCACGTAACGTTCTGTTTGACTTCTCATTGCTACGGCATATTACAATTTTACTTTACATCGCTGACGCTTGTTTTGTTTTTTGTTTAAATTATGCATTGCTGAAGTTCTGTTTGATTTTACATTTACTTTTCATTGTTTATGTCTTGCGTGATTTATACTGTTGACGTCTTGTTTGATTTCCTATGATGACACCCTGTTACTATTTTATTTCACATTGTTGATGTCCTGTTTTACTTAACATTGCTGACGTCTTGTTGCTGTTTTATTAAACATTGCTGACGTTTTGTTGCTGTTAGACCTAACATTGCTGACATCTTTTAACTGTTTTACTTAACATTGTTGACGTCTTGTTACTGATTTTCTTTACGTTGCTGACGTTTTCTTTGACTATACACATGTTCGAGAGTAAAGTATTACCTGGGTTGGCTCCTCGCCGGAATGTTATTGGCTGATTTCTGTACTGGAGGAAATACTGTATATGTCCAATCTCATGGTGAATAGTTAACAGGTTCTCCATGTTGACAGTTGCACACATCTTAATTCTGTATTGAAATATTTATAATTGTAAGTATATGAGGACACCATTTTAACACTGCAATTATTGTATCCTTGTACCAGTGTAACTACAATTAATCAATGTCTACTTAAATCACTGTAATGAATGTTCCCTAGTGACACTTTACTATCCTCTTTCAAATTTTCTACTGGTGCCATTATAATAAATGAAGAATAGAAACATTACACTAACATGATTCACACCCCTTTCCAAGGTAAATCCCAAATGTTTTGATGATAAACCGCTACATGTACGTGTCACATCCCCACTTACGGAGCCATTCACACTTGATTATATTGTGCCGGAAATATACTCAGCAAAATAAGTTAAGGGTCATATAATTCAAACAAAATGAAAAGAAAAAAAGATTGAAACAGTCTGAAGTTTATTTATTTGTTATTTCATTAATACCAATATATATTTGACATTTTTTCAAAGTGAAATATTGCACTAAATTCAATGTGGAACGGAATAGTCATTACCACTATGTCCTACCCCCGTTTTCAAAGTGAAATCACATGTGCTTCGAAAACCCAAAAGCGTTCAAAAGACACAAATTTCATGGAAGTAACTTGTCCTCCTCTGGCCTAAATTACATCCCTGCACTGTCTACTGAAGCTGCGGATAATTCTACGAATGATCATTTCTGGCACATTCGCCAATTCCCCTGAGAAGTGCAATTTCAAGTTCGGCAATATTTGAAGGAAGGATATTTCGCTTTTGAATTTGTCCCAGATGTGTTTTATGGGTTTCAAGTCAGAAGGAACGTCCTAGATGTGTTTTATAGGAGTCAAGTCAGGAGATACAGCAGGCCAATTCATTCGGTCAATTGTTTCAGTTTCAAGGTATTACTGCACTATTCTTGCACGATGGGGACGTGCATTATCATCAATCAAGGTGAAGTGTAGGCCAATTACACCAGCATATGAACGAACAATAGGATGAAGCATATCGTCTCTGTATCGCTGACCAGTCAACGTTCCATTTATGATGACGTGTAAGTATGTTTTACCGTCAATAGATATGCCTCCTCACACCATTACTGAACCACTTCCAAACCGATTGTGTTCTGTAACACAACAATCACGAAATCGTTCATTCATCTCTCTCCACACGTGTCTACTTCCATCGTTAAAATCTACACAAAATTTAGACTCATCAGTAAAGAGAACTGGACGAAGATGACGCAATTGCCAGTTAACATGGTTTCCACAAAAACCTAATCTAGCAGTCCTGGGTCGTGGGGTAAACATTGGCCTAACACGTGGTCAACAACTATGAAGGTTCGCTTGATGAAATCGGTTGCGGTAGGTTTGAGTTGATATCCGCACCCTAAGATGATTTCTTAAGTTAGTATTCAGCTCTACAGCAGAGGAAAACATATTCATCTTGGCCTGCAGAATAATTGTGTGATCCTGGCGGGTTGGCTCACCACTTTTTGCTCTCTGGCAGACAAAACAGTTTGCCTGGAAGCGTTTCCACAATCTTCCAATGACACTTTGACTGACATTAAAATGTCGGGCCACATCTCGCTAGTTTGAAGCATTGCTATGGCACTACCTGCCTGCTGTACGCTCAAGTACCGCCTAAGGGGCATTTCGTCAAATATAGTCTGAATTCAATGACAATATTCAATAACAGTTGAATTAAGAGTGAATCATCTCATTTACCAATGGATTCTGATGATCATCATATCCAGGTTTCACCCTATGATGTCGGGTACGTATACAAAGCCGGATGCGCTGACTGCTTATCGTGCTCCAGATTCAATGTTGCACGTGCAGACTATGGTGAATGCAATAATTTTTAAAACGAAAAGCGGACAATTTATCCCGGCGAAATTTTAGTGAATTATCTTCAATCTTAAAATATGACCCTAAACCTTTTTTGCTGAATATAATTTAACATTCAGTAAAAAGAAATGATCTTTTAGCTAATACAATTACATGTGACAAGATTGTTTACCACTGTTTCATACTAATACTAATATAATATGATTCAATGTAGCAAGTTAAATTATCATATACATTACCTGACATCACTTTGATTGAGCATATCCCAAGCGGATGGCTTGCACTCAACATCTCGACCAACCGGTTTTTCCAGCATGGATTTGTTCCAGAATGACATGGGCAAGGGAGATAATCCCAAAGAAACATAAAAATCTTCGGCAGTCTTGAACATCCGTGTAACAGTGTACCCCTATAAAAACACACCCATCCTTTACCGGAACACAAGCATTGAATGTAGGTCCTATTGTCGTACATGCATGATCTTTATGAAACACACGTGTAAAGTTCTGAATTATTAGGATATATACAATTATTACAGAATTTTTGCACATGGTTTGATTTATGTGATCAGAAAGTAACTGCATTGATTGAAATAAATATCAAATAAGATAGGTTTAAGAAGGAATTTGTCTTTGGAAAATCTGCATTCTGATCCTAGCCTAAACATGCAAGTGGAGTTGGCTGAGATTTGCGTTTTTGCACCTCGGATAACCCAATGTTTGATTTTTGTATATGGACCAACAGTGAATATTGATTTATTGAGTGTGAATTAACTTAAGGCTTGAGGATATGTACTTAGTTCAAGTATGTTGATTTACCAGATACTTGAGTTCCTACCAGAGATATAACCTGTCGATCCTGTTATTGTATGTAAAACTTCCTGACTATTGCGTTATTGCTTGCAAACTAAATTTACTTTGGAGTTATTTTAGTGTGAATTAACCCGAAATTTGAGTTATTGCACGTAGGTGTTCAAGATGTTGGTGTTCTTGCATGTTGACTTACCTGACGTTTGAGTTCCGGTGTGACCTCCACACTTTCACTTCCCTTATATGGGATAACCAGGTCGTAGATATGTCCCCACGATTGGCCCCACATGCTGCCTATAACATAACTAGATATATACATTTCAATCCTTTTTTCATTCTTGCTGCAGTGCGTTGGAATAATCCCACTACAATAAAAAGACTTTCTCAAAATTCAACATAACGGTTAATAATTCTAATCACACGGATTTCTTCTACGGGAGCTCCTACCTCCTGCCCCAGCGGCAGTACAATTTACATTTATTTGGAATACGTCAGAGGACTAGGAAGCAAGCATGCCCAAACTATTTATCTAGCAGACTGTTCTCAACAGGTCTCACAAATTTATTTTATACAAAGCATAGTCGTCCTGTCAAGTGACGTTTCAAACTACATATGGTAACAATGATTGAAGTCGTCCAGAAGGAGTAAACTTTTGAAGACCTAATTGACTAATTTTGCCTTAATTTGGTGCCGATTATGATGTTTGCTGTCTTTCGGGATGAGTAGACTTTTGAAAACGAAATTGTAGATTCTGTTTCTTTATAAGAACCTGTCTTTCAATCCGGTTAATATCAACAGCCATAAAGAGGTCGGTTGAAGGTGATGTCCCGGCAATTTCCCCTATATATCCTCCTCCCCCAACCCCTATACGACTATACCAATATATCATACCACATTTGTTTCCTACTTATGCTTCATATCAACGCTAAATTGTCTAAAACAACGGCACGGCTCAGTCAATTAGGCGTCTGTACTTGCTAAGTATATACCAGTACATTGCAACAGTGACAAAGTTTGTATGGCTCTTTAAACTTACATAATAACGCATTCCGAAATGCACAAAGACATAAATAATATAGCGTATAATACTGACATTATTCATCTAAATCAGAAGCAAATTCTTTCCCATTCAAGTATTCCAAAGCTTACCAAGGAGATGAGCAGGGATGTGACCAGTGGTTGGAAACGTATCCATTCCATACACCTTTCCTAATCGCTTTCTCACGTATGCATGGATATTTTCATACAAGGGAGTTAACTGTGTCCACAAGTCCTCAAGGTTTGATACAAAGTTTGGGGACTCATACTTTGATCTCCAGTATTCACCAGTGTCTTCGTATCCTAAAACAATTGTCAACGTTTAACAAATAGATATTATGTTATTAGCAAGATGATTTCAACCGCTGGAAAAACGGGTAGAATACAAAACTTGTAACACGGTCACATGTTTTCTTTTTTTCTGACAAGAATCTTTCTTGTGGTAGGATGTGTTTAGACAAAGTTGGCTTAGTCCTGCAGTCTCTTAAAAAATTAGTTTCAGATAAAAGATTACTTATTTGAGGAGCTGGATTATTTTCAACTTATGATTTAAGCAATATTATCATCGGCATATTATAAAAAAGGAGATACTGATTAGCAAGCTGTACCGTACCTAGATCTCTGATTCCCTCGTTAGACAGGTCGACAAACTCGGTGTAATATGGTTTGATGCTGCGTGTTGTTGCCCTCCACCCCTTCCATGCATTTAGTAACACAGTTTTGTTTCTTGATGACGACATAATTTCAGTCATACCTATAGTCATATCAATGATATAAATTTATTAGTATTAACGTAAAACGATTCTGATACAATGTTACCTTTTAGTAATAACAATGATTCGAAAAATAAAATATTTTGAACGATGGCACTGGTAAACATTCGGACAAACTCTTTTTAAATTTAAATGTTTATCATTTAACAATAGATGATAAAAGTAAAGCTGAATGATTTATGTCGAATTCTAAACTTTCTCTGGTAGTTAACACTTTTTTGTCGGGAATCTTATAAAAGGCAATGATAAAAACCCTGACAACTAACTATTTAAGGGCTGATATTTCTTTTTTTTCTTCTTCTGTTAACTTCATTTCATATTTTTTAGTGTTCATAATATCAAAATAATGATCAATGGTTTCCAGAAGTCCCTATCGTAATTTCTTTTATACGATGAAGATATACACAGAAATATGTACACACTAAATAATAAAAGCATTTGGAGAACAGCAGTTTATTTATTAAGAGATAAAAAAGGATAAATAGTTGTGTGCAACTAGGTTAAATTCTTTTCGGTAGGTTACTCACCTGGCTCTAGAGCGATACATCTGTCAGGTGTCAAACACACTTTTCCTTTCTTGTACATACTCTTCATCCTTGACTGGACATTGTACAGCTAACCAATAATAAAACAAATGGCTTAAATGTTAAGCATAGCCCTAAATATTAAAACATAAATGGTTGATAAATAGTCTTTTCCCTTTTATGAGGTCGTTATTTGCGAGAATAGAGTGTTTTAATGACAAGTTAACACAAATCTGTATGTAGCATATTTAAAAAAGTGGCTCATTGGGCATATGTCGCTCACTTTTTGTAATGTATCCGCAAACTCGGGACCATGGTCGCCAGTTTTTCAATTTATTCAAATAATCAAAATAACAGCACTAAGTAAGGACAGTTATGGAAATGTAGCATGGTGTCTGTTGGAACTGAGAATAAGTTGAATAAATCAACATCTTTCATTCGCATCGAGTTTATTTATCATACATTTCTTGTTGGTAGTTTAGAGGAAACAAAACTTCGTCAAAGCCGTCAACATTTGTATAAATTGTGTCACATTAGCCAGATGTATTGTGAAGTAGAAAATGTCTTAGTTAATCAGAGGCCTTATTAGGACATTTCAAATTTCAAACATAACAAGTGGTCATGTGAAAAGCATTTGCCCGCCTCTTAACTTGCAATGTCTCTTAGCGTTTACGACGGGGTAGATTTTAGAGGAATTGAGATAACACTCATAATGTTTAACCATTGACTCTGATTCCTCTTACTAATTTTAGTTAACATTCCTACATCCGTATCAAAACAGTACTCTAAACATTGGTTTATTATATAGTGAACCAATTTCGTAGCTCCTATTTGGTTTCTCCCTCTTTTTTCAGTTTTTGCTTTTCTTTCCAAATGTTGTTTCATCGCAATTTTCTTTAAATCTTATCTTATCTTAAGAAGAGTAGTAGGCATTTAAAGGCGAGGTGGACGGACAGAGGATGCGACATTTCATACTGTTTTCAGAGACATTTTGAGTTGAGAAAGCTTAAAAACTAGCAGATAACAATATTTTTTCTGATATTAATCCACACGATTCTTCATATCTCCTGTATGTGACTGAAGTATCGAATAGTGATAAAATCTCAATACATAAGGCAAAACATATTTTGTTTTGAGTTATAATATTCTTTACCCGTTTAAGTTTCGCCTTGTCATTCATTGCACCTTGTCCAATTTGAGTAATTGTCTTCAACTGTCTTTTTGTATCGTGATCTGCGAGTTCCTTCCAATGGAGTTTTGATATCTCTTCCGCTGATAGCTTGGCAAACTCGGCGGTGTTCAGTACAGAAGTGATCTACAATGTCATATGGACAAATCTTTGATTAAAAGAATGACAATTTTGTTTCATTAATATCATATTTTATTTATTTGTCTATTTCATTTTATTATATGGTATACAGCGAAAACAATGCTATTTCGGAAATATCCGAAGTTGTTGTTATCCCAAAAATTAAAATTACGATGCTTTTTGGGTCTATACCGCAACATATCATTCAGTTCGTATATTAAGTGTTATAACCCCTTCAAAATCATTTAGCTAAATAAAAGCGTTTTGAAAACTCCTTTCTATTCTTCTATTTTATAAATATTTTGCTATTAGAGAAACATGTACTTAAATTTTGTTCATACCATTTTTGCTGCTGTGTCTGCGGTGATATTTACGCTATAGTTCCACTTAGACAGGATTTTATTTCTGTACACATCAGTTGCCTCCAGAATGTATGCACTCAACCAATCACTGGCCTTTTCTCCAATTGTCAAGGCGGAGCAATCATCGACCCAGCCAGTTGACTGATCCATGTTTTGTTCTTTTAACCAATCATACAGTGGCTGAAAATATTTTACTAAAGAAGCAGCATCAATATGTCGCTGATCTGTCAATGTTTCAAGGATGTCTTGCCAATGTTGAGAACGTCCCGACTCTAGCATTTGCCTAGAAAAAGGTAAATTGGTATATGTATTACAAAATAGGAATATTTCTTGAGTGCCTGCGAGATTAAGATAGAACTAAATATGTTAATTAGTCTTTTGCAAAAGATGAGCGAAAGTTGGATTTTTGAAATCGATTTCCATGAAATGTTTAAAGACAATTTCATGATAAAAACAACTTCGTTTTAAAGAATTTCTGTTAAATAAGATGCATGTTAATAAAACGTTTAATAAAAAAAGTTTTGTACAACGAACAAGTATGTTTACATCAATAAAGCTCCGGCTTTTCGTGACTGGTATATGTCACATGTGTGTAGAGGACCAGTGTGTCCTGCAGATTTACATAGTCCCTCGTGTAGCTGGAACTCCAGCACTGTTCCAACAAAGTACCTGCAAATCAAAGCAAACTCCAATATGTAGGTGACCCATACTTTTCACTTATCACATTTGAATTCTAACTATGCCCCGAGAAGTATATTTGTTGGCATGCTGTGTCATATCTATGCAACAACCAGGGTCATATGAAGGCGGGGGATGAGACAGACACCGCCGAAAAAAAGTAGGAAGGTAAGGGATAAAATAGATAAAAGGTGTGGCAATTGGTGTTGCATATCAATTTTGGTTCCTTTTATGTCCCCTAACTAAAAGACAAGGAAGAAAAAAAAAACGATTCTTCAAAGAAGAAAAAAAAAACCGATTCTTCAAATGCCGCGAATTAGCGACTTTAATGATAACATGCACTGTGATACACCAGCAGTATTATTTCCCCGAAACTGCAGGGATACTCTCGTTTAATCCTGACAATGTAGGTTTTGATTTTGTGTGTATATGAATGTCGTCTTTTAAGTTTGCGTGATAATATATCAGCGCAATGATTTGTTTTTCTGTCAGCAATATGAAACATGTTAATCCCCTCTTTTCGTTTTCTTTAGAAACTAGTCAACGAACAATCTAAAGTACAATATCTGACGTAAGAAACAAGTAGTTTACCTGATGTATGGCATGTTGATGCTGCCATGATCTTCAGTTCCTGGGTAGAAAAACCCAGCATCAATTTCATGTTCAGGTGGAGAAAATCCTTGGTACTTACACCTGTGTAAATTTGTTAACAGGTTTATTATTTAATGGGAGATATTCCAAGAAGTCATGAAAGAGATTGGTCTAATTGGAAATGTATCACTTTGAGAAAAAATAACCATTGCCCTATTTGTACAACACATTCTTTTACGGTAAACGTAACACACAAATAGGTGACCTCCACCCCCTCCTTCTCCTCTTCATATATTTGTATTTACATTTGCGCTGCAACCAACTATATTAACATTACCAGCAGAAATGCATTTCATTTGAGTTTGAAAGCAAAAACTCTCGTGACGCAAAACGTTGTTTACGTATGACCTCATAAATTAACCGCTTCGCTTCGGATAACATGGAGAATGTCCCTGATCAAATGACTACGGTTAATTATTGGCGCCAATTTTAGTTAAAAAGGGCTGTTCCGCCAATGTCGTTATAAGGACGACGCATATACAAAACGCAGTAAATAAATAAATTATTTAAGAACAAATTAATGAATTTAAACAATTGTTCTATAGTAAAAATGTAAATATATGGATTGAACGGTGTGTTTTTAATTTTCATGCCGGTATAAACGCAAATCGGCTACACCCATATCACACATATCAAAGACGTGGCGGGCTTCATGCACTTTGGATGTAACCGATTTGCGTTCATACCAGAATGAAAATTTAAAAAACGCCGTTCAATTCCTGTAAGAAAATTGTCACAAATTGGCAAATTTAATAAAACTAACAAAAACGGACACACTATCTTATACTCTTTGAATAAATATTCCGCATGAAATGAAATGTTATAATATTTTTCTGTCTTCTTGAAAATAACAAAACGTGAAAAAGTGATGGTTTTCATATAACACAATCATGTAACTTTTGCAGAAAGAAATCGATGACTGTACCCTTGAGTTTTAAGTATATTTACCTGAGTTTCCACCATTTTTCATCGTAAGTTTCAGGTTTTGTCTCCTCACTAAACACACTATGTTGCCAATGGTTAATAACGTATCCAAAAGGAAGGGATGGTATCTTCTTAAGACCAATTCTCATCAAGAAGTTTAACATGTCTTCTAAAATATAATATTAAAAACCTAATCCGTAAGGTAAAAGGTACCAAAGCATGAGGTATAATTGCGAAGAAAACTTCCATTCAGATTTATTTTATTTGTAATATTCGCCCATTTATATACAAGATGTACAACTAAAAGGACCATTTTCTGGCTTATAGTTACTTCCCCAGCCAAGTTCTTTATATTCTATTCTGTACATAAATTAAATACTAATGTTGATGTTTTGCCTGATCATTTGTGTATGACACTAGTGGTAAAGTGTAGACTTTGCGATGTAAAGTTTCCCGAGTTCGATTCCTGTATGTTTTCCAATTTGAAGCATTTAAATTTCGAACAAGAACTATTTTGTGAAATGCATGGCAACGGGTGATTTTTATAGAATATTTCTTTTGAAAGTTAATGAAACAATTCCTTCAAAATAGTGATACTGCAATTTAACGTTTAACGTGTTGGTATACTTTACCTTATATTGATAGCATTTGGTAGAACTTGTTTTTTAAAACTACACAATAAACGATGAACTTTTATAATTTAATGTCAAGCATTGTTATTGTGAATTAGGACCTGTTTTGTTTGCAGCAGCTTCCAGAAGTCCAATGTGATGTAGATGTTCTGACGAAGAAACAGACAATCCTATAAGTCCTGCAACAGCTTCAGCAAAACCTACAATATAGAATAGTTGCATGTGTGCATACCAAAATAATTTAATTCATGACCTACACGTTTGGTCTTGAATTTAAATATAATACATCTTTTTGCCAGCCAATCAGTATCCTTGTACCATGTTTGAACTAGATTGTATAACTGTCCTTTTCCAATTTCATGGCAAAAACGTTAAGGCATGTATAGAGACACGAAAAATAGTGCCTCATATTAACACAGACGTCTATAAGCCTATTACAAAGGACCTGTTACAGGAACAAAAGAATTTTGCCCACAAAGCAATTTAACCAGTATTGGGTTATATTTGTAGCTCCCTAAGACACGACCCATGAGATATTTAAGAAAAAAATAAAAAGGTCCCCAGGGCCTGTGCTATGAACTATTTAGTGCCGCATTCCAAAGGTGTACGACAGGGTTCACTTTTTTTTTTGTCCAAAAACTATCAAAACAATGTTTTACGCTACCAAATAAAATTATATTATTTAAAATAGGATCTGCTGCAAATTATGAACTCAAATATGTAACAAAACATTGCATAATATTTTTTTTATAAAATCTTAAGCTCTAAAAATGTTGTTATTTTCATACACTTTTTTGCTACATCAATTGTTTTACGGAGTAAAACACCAGTTTGCGGTTCTTGTACACCAAAAATCTTTTCATATTATTTGGTGCATTATGTTGAGATACGATAGTGAAAATTTCAGAAAATTTGAGAACCGGTAAATTTGTCATATAAATGTCAAATTTAGCAACGTCTATTTCCAAATAAAATCCAACAACCTTATGACCTATAGTCATGTTTGATAATTTAACAATACGTCGCACCAATTTATTATCGCAACTGATCAAATTTTCATCAATAAGGTCTGCTGCTCATGATGAGCCCAACTATAAAGCTAGATGTTGCAAAATAGAAAAAAAGTTATGCAGTCTCACACACATAAAAGTTTAGTATGTTATGTACATTTTTAGTTGTTTCGCATCTTTACGGAAGTGATAGACATATTTCCGGTTTTTGTACACCAACATACTTTGGATATTACTTGGCACATTATGCTGACTGACGATAGCAGAAATTTCGAAAAAATCAGTAGCCGGTAAATGTGTCATCTTAAGGATAATATGTTGTACGACCAATGTCAAAATAAATCTTCAATAAATACAGGTCATCACCTGAAGCTGGCACCTGGCTATATCACAGAACATCAACCAGATCGGGGGTGATTATGAGATATGGGTGTACCAACATGCTGATGACCTTCTGCGAGGCCAATTACATTCTCGCCACAGGTCGCAGGCAAAATACAATGTCTGGATAGAGTTTGACCTACACGCTTCAGAGGATCCTGTCAAGGCATACTTTTGTGTGTGTCCTGCAGGAAAGACTCATGTCGCATCAATACTGTATTATCTAGGATACTATGCACATTTAACAGATACTAAAACGCTCCAGCCTAAAGCTCTCAAATCAGAGACTGCATATTGTGAATGCATTCAAAAAAGAATCATTATTCAATTATAGCCTTTGGCTGAGGTAAATACCTGGATTTATCGACCCGAGAAAAGATGTAATGACCGAGGACGCAGTCCGAGGTCAATATATCTTTTCTCAGGTTGATAAATCCAGGTATTGACCGAAGTTAAAGGCTACAATTGTTTTATTATTTTACAAAACAGTAATGCAAGCAATCTGAAAAAAAAGGGAAAAAAAAAGATTCGGAAGTGGGATGGTGCATTGTTTGGAGACACGTCATAATTCTATTTTTATAAACACCCAGTCCTTCAACAAAAATCACGCACTCCAAGTCAATATCGGTTTTTATCGGTAAACACGTGATGCACTTCTGGCCAATCACTTGTCGGGAATAATATGAAAATACAATAAGACCTAAGATTGAACTGAGAAAGCAGAAATCAAAACAATGTTTTGAATGACAAATTTTGACTATGTGTTGTCAAATTAAAAAAACAAACACCAGTAAATACAACAATCCATGAATTGGAAACTATAACTCTCCTAAAAAGAAACAATTTTATGGGCTAGCATAGCTTCAACAAATTATACTGGTACACCCAATGTTCTGACAAATTGCCTAACTTTTGCTGTATGCCCCCTTTAACCATCTAGTTTAGTTAAATAGTCATACTCTACTATAAACCATATCATCCACCTTGATAGTATATTGGAATGATTTGGGGTTAATTATGAAATAATTGCATTGATTGTAGTTATTGAAGATTTATTTTGACATTGGTCATACAACATATTATCCTTAAGATGACACATTTACCGGCTACCAATTTTTTCGAAATTTCTACTGTCGTCAGTCAGCATAATGTGCAAAATAATATCCAAAGTATGTTGGTGTACAAAAACCGGAAATATGTCTATCACTTCCGTAAAGATGCGAAACATCTAAAAATTTACATAACATACTGAACTTTTATGTGTGTGAGACTGCATAACTTTTTTTTATTTTGCAACATCTAGCTTTATAGTTGGGCTCATCATGAGCAGCAGATATAATTGATGTAAATTTGATCAGTTGGGATAATAAATTGGTGCGACGTATTGTTAAATTATCAAACATGACTATAGGTCATAAGGTTGTTGGATTTTATTTGGAAATAGACGTTGCTACAATTTGACATTTATATGACAAATTTACCGGTTCTCAAATTTTCTGAAATTTTCACTATCGTATCTCAACATAATGCACCAAATAATATGAAAAGATTTTTGGTGTACAAGAATCGGAAATTGGTGTTTTACTTCCGTAAAACAATTGATGTAGCAAAAAAGTGTATGAAAATAACAACATTTTTAGAGTTTAAGATTTTATAACTTTTTTATTATGCAATGTTTTGTTACATATTTGAGTTCATAATTTTCAGCAGATCCTATTTTAAATAATATAATATTATTTGGTAGCGTAAAACATTGTTTTGATAGTTTTTTGGACAAAAAAGTGAACCCTGTCGTACACCTTTGGAAGGCGGCACTAAATAGTTCATAGCACAGGCCCTGGGGACCTTTTAATTTATTTTTTAAATATCTCATGGGTCGTGTCTTAGGGAGCTACAAATATAACCCAATACTGGTTAAATTGCTTTGTGGGCAAAATTCTTTTGTTCCTATAACAGGTCCTTTGATAGTGACGTTTAGTTGAGGTTGTAATGACTCTTTACCTGGATTTGCTGCCCCTTGGAGGTTTAATGGCTGCTTTGTGTATGCCCTTGAGTACTGGATACGTGCCAACTCCTCATGAACAGCAACAAAATGTTCCTGGTCTACATCTGTACACATCCTTACTCTATCGAAAAAACACATTTTGAAAATAATGAATACTAATAGTATTATTTCAATTTTAGATATATTTATTGGTATGCATATAAGCATATAAATGATCGCACTTAACTCACAGGAGACCCTTAAGTGTATGTTTTGGACTCCACAATATAAGTAATCTATCTTTAGCTTGAAAGGAAATGCCTAATGTTCTCGCGTTTTACCCTCCAATTTATTTTTCAATAAGTGTTCAACTGAAAATCCTTTAATCAATACTTTTTTAATAACGATGTTATCAAAGGAACCGGCGCAAAATGTCAAAGGCGGGTCTTTTATGATTAGTTTTTTTGTTTTTTGTTACAATATTATTTTAATTTATCAACCTAACAACGTATCATCAAGATTTGTTCATCATTACCTGACGTCGTCTGATCCCAGGTTCAAATATAAAGGATTACAATTAGCATTTTGACCTTCTGACTGTCGCATGAATATTGACTTTTCCCAAAAAGAGACTGGAAGCTTTGATAGTCCGATAGACGTAAAAAACTCTTCTGCCTTATGAAACATAATTTCTGTTGTGTAATTCTGTAAACAAACAAAATAAAAAAGTTGTTAAATTTATGACAAAGCTTGATAATAAACAGTTGAACAGCTAAATCGACAGCAGAATAAAGGATTAAATCAACAATTTAGATCCGTTGCATTCTATTTACAATGTATCATTCCCTACCAGAGTTGGTGACAATTCGATCACAAATAATTTGTTTTGTTTATCCAGTTGTTTCTACTTGAGTATTTTTCAATATATCTACACTCATGACCTTCGGCTACATCTACTTTGGTATATATAAACTATAAATAACCAATATCAGCTTCAACAATTCTTAACTTACAAACCGGTGTGATGTCTACATAGGCTATATCTAATCCATCCTCCAGACTAGTTGTAATGTCAACACCAGATATACCTTACCACGCCATAAGAATCAGAGTAATGTCAACATCAGTTATTTAAGTTATACTTACCCTGGCATTGAGATTTGGTGTAATGTCAACATCAGCTATATCCCTATAAGGCATCAAAAGGTCGTTCAGGTTTTGCCAATTCCCACCCATCAACGTCCCTAAATCCAGAAAAAACCTCACAACATTTAAAAGTCATATGAAAAAGAAATTATTGTAAACATCAGGAAATTTAATTAAGTTCAGATCATGATGATTAACATTCACACGTTGTCAAAAAATATAAAAAAAAATCCGGAATAATTCTTTTTTAAAGTTATTGTATCAGGCACTATTTTGAACTTGCTATTTTAGGGATGAAGGAAGATTTAAAACTATTAGAATGGATTCAATTATTATTGTAATTATCACTTACTGTGTTATTCCATTTTTCTTAATACAAACTTCTCGCATCAAGAAGCAGATGACATATCACCTCCAAATACTGTATTCAGTTCAATATCAAAAGGCAATTATCGTTTGGCAATGCTATTAAATCTATTCATTTTTCCAGAGTTTTAATTTACATTTGCGTACAGACACACTCTTCTACCTAAAATATGTGCAGGTATTTGTCCAGACACCGGGAAACGCTCTGCACCGTAATATGCCCTCAGCTTCTGTCTGACGTAAGTGTGAAGCTCCTGATAAAGCGGTTTCACTTGTTCCCACAATCCCTTCAAGTCCTGTTGGAATGTTTCGCTTTCATACTGACTTCTCCAAACCTCGCTCGTATCCATGAAACCTGTAATCATGCGAAGTAAATTGTTCAGCAAACACACAGGCAAAACATTTTCGTGCAAAGTAGCTATATAGATCACTTATCTTAGTCGCAGTTACTAACGAGCTATTCCGTTGAGGGTCTAAACATTCTGATTACGCTTCCTATGGTTCTTTCTTATTGCGGCCATTAACAATATTTAATTGCAATTGTAGAAAACAAGTTATACTTTTTAACAATGGAGGTTTCCAAACCTTGCTTACTAGATGTCAGTATTATATACTTAATTGTAAAGAAAGAAACAATTAATATTCAGACAGCTTTTGATAAGTTACAACTTAATGAAAATTGTAGGATTACCCAACTCGTTAGCTGCCTCATTGCTGAGCTCGACAATCTCTGCATACTTGTCCTTGCCATTATCACTGCCAGCCCTCTGACCCGACAGCCATATTGTGATGAGCTGACTGTAGTTCCTGTTGGTAGCCAGTGATTTCTTCAAAACATCTGATAGGAAATTAGACATAAATAGTAAAACAAAAGTAAAAATGAATGATCTACGTAATTTACAAACATTTGTATGCATACAAACCGATGAGAGTGCTATTGTTTCAGTTACATGTTTGAACTTTTTGGAAGAATACCAAATTTTATTTTAACGAGTTCTGGTGGGTAACATTAATCTTTCTTTACAAATATGTTCAGGACATATATTTGATATTAAACGAAGATAAACGTTGCATCATGATTCCATCCTTCGACTTTTAAATAACATGTTATCATAAACAGAATGATACATTCAATCAGTTTACATCTGAGTTGTTGATATATTGTTTAAGATGACTGTTTTGAATAAACTCTGTACCTGTAGTCTTTATGTCCTTAAAGTCTCTTATGAGAGCTTTCAGCTGCCAAGTAGAAAAAACATAGTAATATTGACGTTAAAACTAGTCTGCTCAAGGAAACGCTTTGAATTTCCTTCCATATGACTAATATCAACATGCGAACATTTAGGAGCAAAGTATTACGAAGATATCTTTGAACTCATAATGAGTGATACATACCCTTACCTGTAGTGACCTGGCCTTGTAATCTCATTAAATGTTGCCAGAAACTGACACCTAATTACGTTTGATCACAAGCGTCCGTTATTGTAAGGGAATAGCATTATTCGAAGATCTGTAGTTGATTTATGAACAATAAACGTTTAGGAGATGGAACTTTAAATGCTAGGCTGTATAAAATAGGCGTACTTTGATATTTTAAAAATTAATCCATCATATGATATTTTAAATACTTGTACATTTTTTCATATTATGGAGTCTTTAATTCAAATCATTCTGAAAGAAAATCATGAACGTTTCGAACAAATAACAATACAACTAGTGATATTCAGAACATAATAGGAATATAAGAGGCTCTCAAATTTGTCATCATTATTTCATGTAAATTTAAAACAGATTTTCGGGAATTTAAGCGAAAAATCCACTATTGTTAAATCTAAATCATGATGAAATTTCAATCTTTGACGAAAGTTTCCAAATGTTTTCCAATTTACGTGTGTCGTTCATCAAAAATGGCTATTCCACCGTTAAGTAAAATAAACATGTTTATAATTTATATAAGAATAAGAATTTCACTCTAATTATAAACTTTAGTATATTTTAGAAAGAAATATTCTTACCCTTTCAAGCTTGTTTGGATCCGCTAATGCATTAATGCCAACTTGCTCCCTTATATATCCGAACTCACGCTTTAGGTCCATATCTGTGAAACCCTCCCAGTCAAATCTAGATGCATTCAACCATACTTGTCTATTAAACTCAGCCAAGTCTGTCCGCACCTCCTCCTGAAGAATCAATATAGTTTTTATTTTCATGTCGTGTAGCAAGATAATTGTATCAAAAATCTGACCCGTCAACAGATGAAGAATATGCCAAACAATATAACTTTTAATATTGAGTTTATCGTCTGAGTTATATGCGTTAAATCATGTTAAATATACAGATAATCATATTGAAAATCCTATTGATAATTTTACCAGGTCCTTGTTGTCATACGAAGACTCGTGATTGTTTGCATTTTCCCACTCAAGTTTCGAAACCAACTGAAGTTTAGATCCAGCTTGCTTGTTGCAATTGTCCAGCCAAGTTCTTGCCAGCTCTTTATCATTGATGAGACTTGAACGGGGCTGCTGGCACTTGTCCAACCAACCAGTTGGTTTGTCAAGATTTTGTTTAGTCAACCAATCAATGAGAGGTTGGAAGTATGCTATGATCGGCTCCACACTCATTGACCTTTGACCTGTGATAGCCTCCATGGCTTCCTGCCAAGATTTAGATGATCCAAGCTTCAACATATCACTGCACAAAGAGATGATAAAGTCAAATCATAATGTTTCAGGTTACTTGTTATACATGACAATTAAAATAGAATGCTCATTCAATTTGGATAAACATATGTATCCTGAGAGCCGATCAATTGATCGCTATAACAAGTAAAAATAATTTTATACTTTCAAAATTCAAGATGACCGCCTGTCGCAAAATTTAAGTTGCACTAAAAAAAAATTCACTGTCATCCAAGAATATGTCCCGCCATGAAGCCTCGGGTTTGATTTACCAGAAGGTATACGTAAGGGACCTTCTATTAATAGTCAATGTGACCTTCAAATTTTAACCTTTATACAGTAATCTCAAGTCAAACTATAACACTGACAGGTCAGTAAGGACCCCGTCTTGTGGCAATATATCCCCCATAATCATCAGGAAGCAATCTGCCCATATAGCTGAGCTTGACGTTTGACATTTGGACTTCAAAAAGAATCGCAAGGAAGCAAAACATACATTTTACATGTACTATGATGTGAGTCTTGTTTTCTTCCACCTCCATATTTGCTGGGCTAACAGAAATGTATATACCGGTGTAATACTCATTTGTTAGCTTTGATTTGTTTTATTTCACCTGATATACCTCCTCCATCAAGAGCCAGGGTCAAAGTCAGAGATCCACTTTGCCTTTGACCTTTGGACCCAAAGTAAAAAAATACAAAACTTGACCTTGACCCTTTGGACCCCGTAACCTGGACCTAAGGTCAGTTGACTCTGTGTTAAGTTCTGAACAACATTGCTTCATAATGTCATAACAAAATGTTCATCAGGGAAAAGGTACAAAATTTAACCTTTACCTTTGACCCAATGACCTTGGGTCAGTTGACTCCTTGTTTAATTCTGATCAACTTTGCTTCATCATGTCATAACAAAAATGTTCATCAGTGAAAAGATGTAAAATTTGACCTTGACCGTTGAACCTAATGACCTTAACCTTTGACCTTGACTTTTTACCTCATTGTGTATTTTTGTGAACTGAACATCTTGACCAAGTTTCATGTACATCGGTCAATAAATACAAAAGTTATCAGACAGAGTGATTACTATAGGGCACCCGTATCTCCGATACGGGCCCCTAATTATTAGTGAAACCCTATAATGTTTCAATTTCACATAAGTTGATTTTGTATTTATATTCACAGTGAATTTGATTGTTGTACCCCAAATCAATCCCAAGTTATCTTTTTGACAAAACAAATCACCCTTTCTGTTTATATTCAATTCAAGTTATAGCACGAAACTGATAATTACGAACATATAGAGGGCCTAGGTTACTTACCCCAGTAGTTTACCGGCCTCCTTTGACTGATATATGTCACACTTGTGTAAGGGACCTGTGTGCCCAGCTGCGTCACACAGAGCCTTGTGGAACTGGAACTGTACCACATGACTAATAAAATACCTGTAACAAATATCTTAGTGTCAGAGTAGCCATTTTACCTCCGAGACGAATGAACATTGGACCTTTTACTGTATAAATCGGTTGTTTTGTTTGAAAATAAGCATGCCTTGCGATTTGTAATAATCAAATATATTCCCATGGGGAAGCGAATAATGTTTGAACTTCACCGAATGAGTAGTATCTATAGTGTGAGCGTCCACCTTATGTACTATTAAATATTAAAATATCAACTTTATTTATTTTACAACAATAATGAAACAGGTTAATTCAACTTATATTAATCACTCTTGTAGGTTTGTATATCGCAACCTATGTATACAGTTGTGGGATCGCACAACGTTACACGATGTGCGGTGTGCGCACGATGTGTGCACGGTGTGTGAACGGTGTGTGCACGATGAGCGAACGATAAAAAGCTTGACGATCATTGCTTGCGCACATCTGTGCGCACTATCGACGGACGTTGTGCGATAACAATCGTGGTTGGTGTAAATTGAGGAATGCCGTAACAATTTATACGGTTTCGTGTTTAAACATATAAACTTCATGTTTACGTATGTTTCTATATTCTAGCAACATCTATAAACTTATCTTTCTGTCTATACATGCATATATTTAGAAATTGTGCTTTCTGTGTTTTTGAACAAACTTGATCGACACATATAAAATTACAACACAATCCCGTATACAGGTAAACATAACCACTTTTTACATGTACCTGGACCGTAGTTTTTTCCCCGCCTGGGGCGATTACTTAACTCGTCGGGTAAGCCAGGGGTGTGAAAATCCAGGTGAAGGGGAGGTATCGGCAAACGAATGCAAATAACAAATACTATTCATTACGGTCAAACGGTATCGCATATAAGCTCTATGTGTCAGGCACTGGTCAGGTAAAACTCCGGACACTCATAAAATTGTTATTTACCTGTTCTTTTAACTTGGAGCCGAACCCATTCTTGACAGCTTAACGGTCGCTGTAATACATGTACTGTGTAACACGCATTGTGAAATTGTATAATCTTGATTATTGTGATGAGAAATTACAGATATATACACAGTGTACATTATCGCATACGAGTCTTCCGTATTTTTGTCATTCCGTAATTTTGATCTACAAATGATATCAAATCGCACAGTTGTGAGGAGAGAAGAGCACAACGGGGTGAACGATTGCTAAATCGCACAGTTATGCGCACCATGTGTGGACGATGTGCGGACGGTGTGTGAACGATGTATGCACGGTGTGCGCACGCTATTTTTGGTGCGTTGTGCGGTCCAACAACTGTACAATATACAAGTGATTTGACAACCTATGCACAGAAGTTCTGTAATTTTTACTTGGTGGTATAAAAGTTGACATTTACCTTATGTACGGTGTGTTACCAGGAACGTGATACTTGGATCCAGGATCAAAGTCCTCTTCACTTCGTGGGAGAGAAGGAGAGACACCTTGGTACTTACATCTAAAACGATAAGCAACACTTGTCCAAATTAAAAAGAATATATATATAATCTATGTTTTGCAAGTGATCAATCTAACTTGCATCTTTCAACATTCGTTTTGACGACAATTTGCGTAATTATCTTCAAACACACGAATTTAAGTGTACAACAATGATTAGTATAACCAAGAACAGATCTGACAAGTACACTTTGTGAACACCCTAATTCGCGAAAGGGTATTAACCTAGTTACCCACCTCAATTGCCACCATTTCTTGTTATATTCGTCTGAAGTTGTCTCCCCACTAAAGACACTCCAACGCCATTGGTCAATTAGATATCCAAATGGAAGGAACGCTATCTTTCCCAAAGCCATTGACATCAGGAAGTTTATATCACTTTCTGAAAGAAAAAATGCAAAGTTCAGTAAACGATCTTTGATGACTTATGATTTTAGTTTAGCTCAGGTTTACAATTATTATTTTTCATTGGTGAAAACAATCCTTGATATTTGTCTTTATTGTCAATCACAAATATGTATTTTTTTAACTAAACAACAACTATAGTACTTTAAACTGACTTTCAAATGTGTGTGCTGAATTTGTTTTCTTGAACAATCGATATTCAAGACACTGTAATATATGAAAATATCACACACATGACAAATAACAAGTATTGTATCTAAATGAATATCATACAAACAAATTTAAGCTATACACAAATGAAACATCAGCACTGTACCAAAATCTTCTTCGACAGTTTCTAAGAGCCCCAGTTTGTGCAGATGAGCAGGTGTTACAACAGACATGGCCATGACATCTCCCACTGCTTCGTGAAAGCCTGAAACAGTCACAAATAGTACAAAAACATCAACTACATACATGTATTACTTTCTCATTGGTTTGTTAAAAGACTTTTTTCTGTTTTTCCAAATGAAAGGAAAATGTCGCTTATATGTACTTTTGAACGTTTTGTTTTTAATAAAGTCTAAGAAAGTGGAAACAATTTCAATCACTAGTTAAAACAAGAGGCACAGAGGGCCTGTATCGCTCACCTGGATATCTAAACAATCATGGCAAAATATTCTCCAAATGAGATCCAAGGGAATATGCCAGACCCCAAGACCAATCCTTGTAGCATATCTGTATTAGATTTTTCATGCCAAGCAATTTTATGTATGGTTATGGGGTAGGAATCTCAACTGTTTCCAAGCTTCGACTCAGAAACTAGGTCCCTAGGGTTGAGGTCAGACCCCCAGGATCAATTCAAATATCATGACTGCATTTGTCTTTTTTTGCCCAGCATTTGTTTATATAGTTTTGGGGTGGGAATCTCAACAGTTTCAAAGTTATGGCCGAGGGGTTAAGTCTCCAAGGTTGGGGCAGTCCCCAAGGTCATCCTGGAAGCATATGTGCATTCATCTCTGTATACTCAGCAATTGTATATATGGTTATAGGGTTGGGATTTCAACTGTATCCAAGTTGTGACTAAGAAACTAGGTCCCTAGGGGTTCGGTCAGACCCCATGATCTATTCTCATATCATGACTGCATTCGTCTCTTTACTCCCAACATCTGTATATATAGGTTTGGGCTGGGGATCTCAACCGTTTTAAAGCTATGGCCCAGGGTCTACGTCTCCAAGGGTGAGGTCAGACCCTAGGGCCATCTTGGAAGCAAATGTGTATTCCTTTCTTTATACTCAGCAATTGTATATACGGTTATATGGTCGGGATTTCAACCATTTCCAAGTAATTTTTGGCCCTACCCCTTGCCCGGGGGGTCAGCCCCACCATTTGTACAATTTTGAATCCCTGCCTCCAATGAATGCTTCCGACCAAATATGATCGATATCCATGGCACAGTTCTAAAGAAGAAGTCGTTTATAGCAATATAGCCCAACATTTTGCCACGCCCTTAGCCCCCTTGGGGGTCAGCCCCACCATTTGTACAATTTTGAATCCCCATCACCAAGGGATACTTCTAGTCAAATTTAGTTAAATTCCAATCAGTGGTTAAGAAAAAGAAGATGTTTAAAGAAAATGTTGACGGAGGGATGACGGACGCCACAGTATGGCGTAAGCTCACCTTGGTCCATCGGACCCGGTGAGCTACAAATGATAACATAATTTGTTCGTGAGTGATTTAAACTTTTTCGTTATTTTCGAAATCATCCAGGAGAGTGTACTCTGGATCTTATTTACATCTACTGAGTCTAAGTAACCAGACATAACTCCTTTTTCTTAATAAACTATTATTGAAATCTGTAGTTTGATATTGTTACCAGAAAGTAACACGGAAAAAACCTGGCGGATTACCGCAGTGGTGAACTCGCGTTAACACGATAGATTACCGGGAGTAAACATGGATGTGACCTTGAGTGCAATACAGTGCTTTCACCTGTATACCACCTCTTTTCACTACGCGTGCAATACAAAATGCACTAGGAACAAAAGTGACCGGTTTCAATGTATAAGCGCTAGTAAATTTGATGTAATAATTTATTTCGGTTTTCTTTGTAAAACAGGATATTATAGGCGTGACAGATAGATGATGGGGTTTCAGCGTTATACCTGGGTTGGCACCTGCTCTGAATTGCCAAGGCTGATCCTTGTACTGCAGATAGTACTCAATGTGACCCATTTCGTGGTGGATAACTTGGAACGTCTCAAGGGATACATTGGAACACATCTTAATTCTGGAAATATTGAATACAAAACACAGTGAAACATTATAAATCTGGATAAACGTTGTTGTAAAAAGAATAAGAGTGTCTGTAAAACTATATCTGCTTGCAGATGAACTTATAAACGACATAGTCGAAAGCAAGCAGTTATGAGGTTTCTGTCAAGAAATACGGCCAGTATAGCCGTTTCTTATAAAAGAATATGTTTAGTAAAAGCGAACTAAACGTTTGACATATGACGCCAATAGATAAACATGTCGTATGTACTTCAAAGAAAAATATGCATGTAAAGGGGGACATACTTATATAGTAGTTACCGTACATTGCAACTTACCTGAAGTCCTTAGCGTTCCCGAAATCCCAGGCGGAAGCATGACAGACCATATCTCTTCTATCGGTTGGCCGTTCCAATATTGAGTTTTCCCAAAATGACAGTGGCATAGCAGACAAATTGAGGGACACAAAGAAATCCTCCGATAACTTGAACATTTGATTCACGGTAATATTCTGGGAAAATGAAATCAGGAGATATGTGTTAGCAAAGAGCTGTTAAGATTGATCTTCCAATAACTTGTACGGAATGTATCTAAGTCATGATTGTTACAACATGTATTGGCATAAAAATATACTATGAACTCTATAGTATCCGTTGATAATGGAGTTAAAGAAATGATTATGATGTGTTCTATATACATTTCTGCTACTAACATTGTTTTTTTACACAGTTCGAGTAATACATTTACTAGCTCTACCGCCATCGATGCACAACTCATATGCACGAACGTATCAATCACACCTAGAAGTGACAATGAACAACGGGACAGTCAGTCAAGTTTACACTAACACAAGTTAATCATGATAGGTTTTAACTGTTGTAACTTAAAACTAATTATTATTGGTACGTAAAAGAAACTTCTATTCCTGTTATATATATATACACATGTAAACTTACGTAAAGATATGTTTAGTATTATTCGATTGGTTATTTCGATCGATGCCGATAGTTACAGAAAAGACCATAATGCAGAAATATTACCCAAGCTGGAAAAGGCGGACTAGTCATTATTTGCTGTCACATTTCTTTCATTTTTTTATTGCTTTGTTGTTTTTTTTTACCATGGGGATGCCCTATACTACAAATTAAGAGCGCCTACTCTAGATGTACTTGAGGATATCTTCTTTTACACTGAGCCGTAATGTATATCTCATCTAGGACATCCCAATTTTCTTAAGGGTGATCGACACACTGATTAGTTTTTTTGTCAGGCAGGTGCAAAACGTGATTCCAACCGATATATCGTAAAATTGACATTACTAAACTTCGTTTGAACTTTGTCGTTGGGCGATTGTATAGACACAATAGGTTTTGTAATGACCCTCTGCAATTTTCTTGTAATCTCTGCTAGTTTCCGTTCTGTAAGATAAGTTTGAGCACTGTGTCTCACATAACAGGACGAGAAAAACTACTACCTTTTCAAGCATTGTTTTGGTGATATTCGGGGTCTTTTTGTCTTTGAATGGTTGCACAATATCGTAGATATTGTTCCAATTCTGCGCCCACATGTTACCTACAAATAAGCAGCTTAATGTACAAATTAAGTATTAAAACTATATATTTCTGTTATGCTGTGTTTCAAGAGATTTAGAATGAAATTTCAAAGTGCTTATAAAAAAGCAAAGACCAAGCAACTGGGATACCCCACATTGTACTAACGAAGGTAATACTTCTTATCACATAACATACCCCTTTTATTTTGTCATACGACCATGTCATATATATGGTATTACACATGTTTACTAAAAAATAAGTGTGCTACGATTGGTCAAAACCGTCGGAACTTATTCCTACGACAGTGTATCCACTACTTGTTTTAACTGTACCACATGTAACATTAACTGTACCACATGTAACATTAACTGTACCACATGTAACATTAACTCTACCACATGTAACATTAACTGTACCACATGTAACGTTAACTGTACCACATGTAACGTTAACTGTACCACATGTAACATTAACTGTACCACATATAACGTTAACTGTACCACAAGTAACATTAACTGTTATCTAAATATAATTTATTTTTTTTCATTATTATTTTCATTACAGTTAAATTTGTTTAATATGAAAAAAGAAGATAGAACAAATATCCTGAACATCTTTGCACTACGGGAACGACAGTACCATATGATCGGAGTTTTTACCTTCATAGAGTCAGCTGTTATCATTCTGTTTGAAACTGTTTTCTTCAAATTATGAATGTTATGTGATAATAGATTCTCACATTCGTGTCCACGTCATATTGAATTGATCAATCTCGTTAAATAATTTGATACGACACTGGTGTAAAGGCTCGTGTCATATCAACGTATTGCACTGTTTGATGAATTCAATATGACTTTATAAATGTCGGAATAGTTCGATCAACTTAAAAGGAGGGGTTTCCAATATATCAAGGCCTTTTTTTATAAAACGTATGATCGAATCATTAAACTACTTATCATAAAAGATGATAAGCTTCCAGCTACTATTTTTAAGTGTAAGATTTTTGATGATTCAAATGAAAATTATATTCGTTAAAATAAAAGTCTACCTAGGAGATGGGCAGGAATATGGCCTGACCGCGGGAAATGCTCTTTTCCATAATACGTCACCAGTTTGCCCTTGACGTATGTATGAAGTTGCAGATATAACACCTGTAGCCGGTCTAACAATATGACCAGGTCGTCACGGAGACTGGGCGTATCATACCAGGAACGCCAGTACTCACCGACATCGTTGTAACCTAGCAAAATGGAGTAGTAATGTCATATTTGTTTGAAATATAGCAATCATCAAATAGGTATAAAATTTTATGTATTTTTCATAACCAATTCTGTACTTCCATTGTAAATAAAAAAAAAAATTCCCTATCAAATTTCATGTTTCCAGAACGAAGTGAAGATTAACATATATGATGTGCCTAAAGTTCCTTCAGTATAACTTTATAAATTTACCATTTTCCTTCGCTCCCTCATTACTTAGCTCCACAAATCTAGCATAATGGTTTTTCATTTTGGGCCCTGTAGCATTTCTCCATGACTTCCAGCCCTGTAAAAGCTCTTCCTGATCTCTTGACGTTGCCATCAGCACATTCAAGTCTAAGAAATAAGTGAAAACCCACTTTGAATCAAACTTTTTCAGTGCAATATAAAGCTAAATATTTATTAACAAAGGCCTTTCAGACTATATAAATTAAATGATAAATACAAAAATACAGACATGAAAGCATTTTTGTAATACATGTATTGATAGTTATCTTGAAAAAATGTAAGCAACAATACTAATCGCATAAATATAAAACATACCACACAGTGCCGTTCGAGCACCCTCGATAAGTGGAAGACATAAGTTGAAGGTTAGTGGTGCTGGTTTTCACTTTTCATCACTCCACTTTTGTTACATACTTACTGTACCAAACACGAGATCAACTAGACGGTACCATCAGAGTAGCCAAAGTATTAGCAAGTCAATCATCGATTCATATATGCAGTACTGGTTATTATGTGGCTTCCATCGACAGCCATTACCAACATTTCTGCTCGCAAGCGCTACACATATATAGGTAACATATAAGATTTCACGATGGACAAGCATAATTGATTGCTGGAAGTAACACATTATCTACTCATATCAGGTGGTAAACAAAGTTACGTTCTGTGTTATAACATTGCAGGATAATTTAACTTGCAAGAGATATCTTTAAAAAGCGGTAGAGATCGGTACTTTACTAAAACTAACTAATTTGAAAATCAACAAACAAAAGCCTAACTGAAGATCATCATATCTTACCTGGCTCCATTTTCAGACATCTGTCCTTTGTAAGGCAAGCTTTGGCTTTGGCGTAAATGGATTTGAGTTTTGCCATCACGTTGCTGCGCTGAGTTAATCATAAATCCATTAAGTGTTTATTATCATAATCATTATAAATAGATTCATTCAGTTTAGAAGCAGAGCTGTAAAATGTTGTTAAGCAAAAATTCACATTCATATAGCAACATCAATCCTGTCGCAATGAACATGGCTTCGAGATGCATATAGGGGAATTCGCCCACCAACAGTCCATCAGCTAAATCATCTATAACAATCTAATTTCTGGTGTAGAAATATATATAATTGTGTAACAGTCTACAAGATTTCATTTAAATCCAATTCCGCCACTCTGAACAGCTGTAAGCTCTGTCTAAATAGGGAGTAAATAACAAAGAATTTAAATCATACTGACACTTCAACAATTGTAATTTATACCATGTCCCGATAGTAAGAGAAATGACAATATTGTCCAAATAGCATTTTGCTTTTGCTCAGTTTGGCATAAAACAGTTTGTTGCATTATTGTATAAGAAATAATTGCATTGTATAGCATATAGAAAATGGAACTGTCTAATATATATAATTTATAATTTTTGTCACATCGAAATGTTATTGTGTAATACATATATAGTATTATTATATATCATCCGGAAATCGTATTGCATAGCATATCGACATCGTATGGTATTACTCCTGTTATTACCTAGAGAAGAGGCATTATACTTTAACCATCATTTATTAATATTTGTTTTGTTCAAGTAAAATTATCCTAGAGATAACATTATATTGTATACGGTGTAGCTTAAATGATTCAAAGATCATATAGAAATCTTATATGAATATTATTAGATAATTAAATTAAATTTATCATATACATGTAGTGATATATATCATATAGGAATCTCATTGTGCAGCATTTAGAAACTGCAGTGTGTTCATACAGTAACCTCATTATAACTTATATGAAAATATAATATTTAGGTTAAAATAAATATCTGCATAACCAAGCTTATGTACCTCCTTGGTCTTCTCTTTGTCTTTTAAGGAGGTACCTTTGTCAACTAAACTGGCAAACTGTTTCCTCATCAGCGGGTCGGGTAAAGTTTTCCAGTTGAACAAGGAACCATTGAGAGCAGCATTTCTACTGAAATCTGATGCTATAAGGTTTGCCTCAACCTATTAAAAACAAAAAATAAATCTGATATAAACTTGCTTTAATTATCAATTAAAAGGTAGCTGAGAGGGCCTGTGTCACTCCCCTATGTACTTAAGTAATATGGAGAAAATATGCAATAATACGTTCAATGATAATATTTTGTCAGTATTTTTGGATCCGGCTTTCAAGATCTCTATTCCAGTTAGGGTTTAATTATCTTTGTCCAGTTATTCTTTCTAGAAAAAAATATTTAAGTTTGACGAACTTTCAAGGAACTGACTTAAACGCTAAAACTGCCATCTTTGTGGCACATGTGCTTTAACGCAAATGTCAAATCCTAAGGATCAACGATGAAGAAATATCACTAAGACACGTTTATTTATTTATATGGCTATATGTAGCGGATATATATTCTTCCCATGTAACGCCCCCTTAACCATGTCCAATTTTCTGCATGTTCTGCAAAACCAAACTGGTAACGCCGTTTCCTAGTTATGACATTGGACTAAGTGTCGTCAAAGTATAGGCAGGACCCCAGGGAAATTATGGAGTCGTAATATTTTTTGTCTTTTCAGGCCTAAACAATATATACAACTATATGGTTGTTGAATAAAGACATTTTTAAACTGAGGAAAATAATTTTTCAAAGCTTTTAATCGTCATAGCTCATTTGACTCCTGTCAACAGTTAAAGCTGGCGTTTATTTAAACATTTTACATTAGGGTAAAATTGTACTTCTTGCCCAATGAGCATACTGATATTTCGTTGCTGTAGAAAATCTTATAAATATGAAGTGTATGAAAGTAACTTCCCTAACTTGTTGATTGGCATAATATCACTGAATGAAACAAAAAGGGAATGGAACAAATGTCTTGATAAAGGCCGCATGTAGTCAGATGAGTTCTATGAACTTTGTAAATACCTACCTGTTTTTGCTGGTTGTAATCAGTGATATTTGTGACGTAATTCCAGTAGGCAGACATATAGAATGCGTCCATTTCTTGTACCTCATTGTCATAATTCAAAAGGAATTCTTTGGCTAACTCAGCATCGTTGATTAGCTCTGGTTCGTCCTGAGGACACTCGTCAGTCCAGCCAATCGTATCGTTCTGATTCTGTTCTCTCAACCAATCAGTAAGCGGCTTGAAATATTCCATCAGTGGTTCAGCATTCATTTCTCGCTGACCTGTAATCTTTTCCATGGCCTCCTGCCAAGGTTGCGATGAACCCATTGCCAACATATCTCTGTATATCCGAAAAAAATAACACAACAGTTTTGATTTAATATGTATCAGCGAGTCATGTTGTCAATCTGAAATTACCTCAATCAGATATGCTGTCAATACATATAATGTTATTCAGAGACATTGCGTAACGCCAATGTAATCAGCTATTCATATCGTCCATCAAATATATTGTACATATGATAAATTGTCAAATATGTTGCCAGTAAGATATGCTATCAATGAAAAATGCTGTCAATGAAATATGTATTCAGTAAGTCATGTTGTCGATGAGACATTAATAGTACCACATATTGTCAATGATATATCTAATAAATACGAGATGTTGTCAATGAGATATATAATAAATACGACATGTTGCCAATGAGATATGTAATAAATACGACATGTTGTCGATGACATATATAATAAATACGACATGTTGCCAATGAGATATGTAATAAATACGACATTTTGTCAATTGTATAGCAAATCAGTACGACATGTTGTCAATGATGTATATAATTAAAACGACATGTTGTCAATGAGATATATAATCAGTACGACTTGTTGTCAATTAGATATCGAAATAGTACGACATGTTGTCAAATATATATATAATCAGTACGACTTGTTGTCAATGAGATATATAATCAGTTTGACTTGTTGTCATTAGATATCGAATCAGTACATGTTGGCAACGGTATAGCTAATCAGTACATGTTGTAAATGAGATATATAATCAGTACGACTTGTTGTCAATTATATATCAAATAAATACGACATGTTGTCGATGAGATATCTAATCAGTACGAATTGTTGTCAATGATATACATAATCAGTTTGACTTGTTGTCAATGATATATCAAATAAATACGACATGTTGTCGATGAGATATATTATCAGTACCACATGTTGTCAATGATATATTAAAAAAAAACGACATGTTGTCAATGGTATATCTTACAAAAACGAGATGTTGTCAATGAGATATCCTATATGTAAGACTTGTTGTCATTGATTTTATCTAATAAATACGACATGTTTCCAATGGGATATCTAAAAAATTCGACATGTTGCCAATGGGATATCTAATAAATACGACATTTTGTCAATGGTATAGCTAATCAGTATGACATGTTGTCAATTAGATATCGAATCAGTACGACATGTTGTCAATGATATATATAATCAGTACGACTTGTTGTCAATGATATATCTAATAAAAACGACATGTTGTCAATGATATATCTAATTTGTACCACATGTTGTCAATGATATATCTAATTAGTACCACATGTTGTCAATGATATATCTAATTAGTACCACATGTTGTCAATGATATATCAAATAAATACGACATGTTGTCGATGAGATATCTAATCAGTACGATTTGTTTTCAAGGATATACATAATCAGTTCGACTTGTTGTCAATGATATCTCAAATAAATACGACTTGTTGTCAATGATATATCAAATAAATACGACTTGTTGTCAACGATGTATCTAATAAAAACGACATGTTGTCAATGAGATATCTAATCAGTATCACATGTTGTCAATGATATATCAAATATATATCATGACTCGTCCTTTATTAACCATACTGTCAATAACTCAACAATAACATAGTTAGATCTCTTGAACCATTACAATTACAAGAAATAATTTTCGTCCTATTTGCTATATTTTATTGTTCGTGCAATACAATAATTTGAACGAGTTCTGGAAATTGTTAGATCTTTTGCGAAAATTATATGACTACTACATTATTATTAATATCACTAAGTCACTCGTGGTGAAACTGCCTTATAATGGACATATACAAATGGCCCACAGTGGCCTATTTCAGCTATTACAATTTCCCGTCGGATGATTTAAGTTATCCTACATTAACTAATCTAATTGATGATCAAAAGTATAAGGAAGTGTATATTTGCCTGTTTTTAAGGTGAAGTATTTTTGTGTTCCAGCATATTGAAGTATATACTATTTCACTTACCCTAAGAGTTTACCTGCTTCTCTTGACTGGTAGATGTCACATCGGTGTAAAGGACCTGTTTTCCCCGCGGCAGTACATAAGGCCTTATGGAATTGAAACTGTATCACAAAACTAATAAAGTACCTAAAACAGACCATTTAAGTCCCATCAATACATGTTGTAGGCCAAAAAGACTGTTGCAACGTTTATTTTAAACGTTTAAGTCACATGAATGTTTTGTTATCCTCCCATCTCAACATACAGAAACGGTAACAATATTAAGAGGTAGAGAGAAGGTCCTCTTCATTTGAATAGGGCCCAATATACAACAGTAAGTAATTATTTAAAGAACTTCCAATATATTTTCGACTTTAACTGCCCCACCCTCCCATTTCCTAATTGTTGATATTTGAACATGAGGTCCCCTTCATTTGAATAGGGCCCACTATACAACAGTAAGTAGTTATTTAAAGAACTTCCAACATATTTTGACTTAACTGCCCCACCCCTCCCATTTCCTAATTGTTGATGTTTGGACAAAGCGTTCAATAGATAACATTCTAATCACATAACAAATACACCTTTCACCTGATGTAGGCAGTGTTGGACGCGACGTGGTACTTGGCCCCTGCGTCAAAGTCATCTGAAGTCCTAGCGATTGGAGGCGACATCCCTTGTAATTTACACCTATTATATAAAATAGTTGCTTGTTACTGCATATCGATGTTAATATACATATTAACATGTGTTCCGGGTGTTATGTTTAGCACCACACATTGACCTTACCACTATGACCTTACGCTGTTGCAAAGGCAAAGACGATACATGAGTATAAATAATAATTGATTAAGAACAAGACACTCCACAACTACCATTGCTGATGCGAGACATTTTCAAACTTCCGTGATCATTATTCGACGCTCTAGATAAACGTAGCAGCTACGTTAATGCAAGCAAGAACTACAGTGTCTGTTACATGTATTTTTGGAGTGTTACGTTTAGAAAGAGTAGGTAGGAAGGAAAGTACAATAACAGATTCCAAATTCTGCAATGCGTAAAGCAATCGATTGTTGTCTCTTCTGCGTATCTTTCTAGTGGAAGAAACAAAGAAAACCCGATTTAAATGGGCCCCACATAAGTCGCCGCTTTCGATTCATTGTAGGAAATAAGTCGGTAAGCGGAATCTCATTATCTTAACGGCATATAGATTTTACTCACCTTAGCTGCCACCATTTTTCGTTGTATTCTTCTGGAGTTGTCTCTCCACTAAAAACACTCCAACGCCATTGGTCGATCATATATCCGAATGGAAGGAACGCTATCTTTTTCAAGGCCATGGACATTAGGAAGTTGATATCGCTATCTGAAAACAATCGCAATTTACAAGCACACAATAAGAATTGAAATATTTTTTGTTTATTAACAGCAACAAGAAAATCATACCAAATACTAAACACCAACAGAAAACTTCCATAAGGTGAAAACTATCATACCAAATACTAAACACCAACAGAAAACTTCCATAAAGTGATTACTATCATACCAAATACTAAACACCAAAAGAAAACTTCCATAAGGTGATAACTATCATACCAAATACTAAACACCAACAGAACACTTCAATAAAGTGATAACTATCATACCAAATACTAAACACCAACAGAAAACTTCAATAAAGTGATAACTATCATACCAAATACTAAACACCAAAAGAAAACTTCCACAAGGTGATAACTATCATACCAAATACTTAACACCAACAGAACACTTCAATAAAGTGATAACTATCATACCAAATACTAAACACCAACAGAAAACTTCCATAAAGTGATACCTATAATACCAAATACTAAACACCAACAGAACACTTCCATAAAGTGATAACTATCATACCAAATACTAAACACCAACAGAAAACCTCCATAAAGTGATAACTATCATACCAAATACTAAACACCAACAGAACACTTCAATAAAGTGTAACTATCATACCAAATACTAAACACCAACAGAAAACCTCCATAAAGTGATAACTATCATACCAAATACTAAACACCAACAGAAAACGTCCATAAAGTGATAACTATCATGTGGGCTTGAACAATCAGGATATCGTTTTTTAAGTTATGCATATGCAGATTGCAAAGGTCCACAATACATTTATGAATGACTGACTGCTTATATTTAACTTTTCCTGTTATAATAAGCGTTAACTGTACACAAGTTTATTCATTTTGGTTGTGGTTACTGTCTTTGTTTTGAGATCTAGAGTCCCAGTTCAAACTATTTTAATATTTAAATCTTAAAATAATGCCTTTACAACGATACAGACCTGAATCATGTACAACGTTGTCAAGGAAACCGATTTTGCGTAGATGTTCTGGTGTTGAGACGGAAAGTTCCATGACATCTCCGACAGCTTCATGAAAACCATTGTTTGCTCCGTTCCTGAAGGATATCGGGAGGTCCTTGTACTGTAGGAAGTACTGAATGTGTCCCATCTCGTGGTGGATAGTCATCAAATCCTCCATGTCAACTTTTGTACACATCTTAATTCTACATAAAACAATGCCTTTTATTTTACTTTTTAGTTTTAATGCATAGTTAATCTTAATTAGCGTTACGCTTTTATTTTATAAACACAGGGGTGATATAGACTTTACCGGTAAGATGGGCGAAAGAGTCCCGATTTACCGTCTATTAATGAAATATTCTGACATACACGGATATTATCATTTTGTGTGATCATTCAAATTCGTTGAGCTAAATGACTATGAAAGTGAAAGCATATGTTCTACCAATTGTTATAAGTATTGAACGCGCTGTAGATTATTGATTATGAATGCTAAATATAAACAAAGTTAAATATATACATTAAAAGTACGCCTTTACGTCTAATAACATTTACAGTGTACAAATTCTACGATTGGACTGTGGTTTGCAGAATATCTACGATTACGAACAATCATAATGACATCATCAATGTGGACAGATGGTTTACAATCATAGCTAACATACGAGAGTTTTGCTAGTGTTTAATAGGGAAATACGCTGCAAAATGAAATACACACAGATTATTTAATGGTTTTCCGTTGAATATCATATATTTATTTTTATTTATTTTACATTAAGTCTTCCTCGATAGGGAGAAGAGATATGATAACTGTATTAAAATATTGGTAATCGATACACCGGGTCGTTTTTGTGTTACCTGAAATCTTTGCCATTATGGAAATCCCAGGCAGACGCGTGGCACATGACATCGCGATCCTCAGGCTTAACGATCATAGAGTCTTCCCAAAATGATTGTGGCATTTCTAGAAGACCTAGTGAGGTGAAGAATTCCTCCGCAACCTTGAACAGGTTCAACGGCTTAAGTCCCTGAAAATCATAGGCATAAATCAGAAAAAAAACATAGGCATACATAAAAAAACATAGGCATAAATCAGATTTTTTTTAGGCATAAATCAGAAAAATAACCCATCAATTAATGTCATGTATCCACTTGTCACGTATTTTTTTTTTAATTTAAAATGCCACAATCATTTCTGTTCTAAAATTAACTTTCCTATAATGCACCAAGATTGAATAGTATCACCTACTTGATTTATATAGATAAAGATAGTTAAATTGTACATATTCATGTCAGTGTGTATGATAACAGTCAACTGTTACTCACAATTTTTTGTAACCTAGAAGTAACGTCCATACTGGATTTGCCCTTGAAAGGTTCCACAAGGTCGTATATGTTATTCCACTGTTGTCCCCACATGTTTCCTTTATACATTTAAAGGTAAATCACCAAATGTCAATCAACATAATAACACTGTCGATAAATGTGTGGTAGAGTAAATGGTCGGATGGATCATTAGTTAAGACAAAACAATGTTTTGCACGTACTTTCTTATTATAAATACAAGTTAAGTTGTGCATATTTACGGGTTATAATCATAAAATATATCTCGACCATACAGAACTCGTTGTAGGTATTGTTACAAAATACACAGAGTGTGGTTTCTTCCAAATCTCATAGAACCTACAACATGTAACATGTTAGACATTTATACCCTAATGCCATGTACAATAGATGTCATTGTTTGACAATTTTAGTAGTGCAACAGTGAATTTAAACGTTGGACTCTGAAACACAAACACATCTAATGCATAATTGATACCTGCATAAAGTTTGAGAGAAATGCACTGAAAGTGAAATAGCTCTATCGACGACACTAACTAGTTAAAATATTTTAAAAACATTTTTTCTGACTTACCAAATAAATGTGCAGGAACATGGCCGGAGGCAGGGAAATGTTCTTCTCCGTAGAAGTTCCGTAATTTCCGTCGAATATAAGCATGAAGATTTTTATATAGCGGCTCTAACTGCATTAACAGTTGTTCTAAATTTTCCTGTAATGTTGGCGATTCATACCAGGATCTCCAGTAATCTCCAGTGTCTTCATATCCTTAGTTTAAAATATAAAATAAAATGTGTTTTTAATCAAATCTACAATATAACTTACATTCTGTTCACATACAAATAGCATACAAGTAATCAATTCTGTTTTATATTCAGCATTTCATATGCATTTATTATTTGAATATTGATATATCTCAAATTTAAAAACAAAACTTATAGAAAGAACGATTGACATACCATCTAAGAAGTTTTTAAGAAAAACAGTATGTCGTACCTAGTTGCATGAAGGCCTCATTGCTAATGTTAACCATATCTTTGTACAGATCCTTCATTTTCCGCCCAGTCGCATCCCGCCATTTTCTCCAGGCTTCAGTCAGCAGGCTGTAGTTACGGGACTCGGAAAAGACCTGAGTGAGACCTATTCATCATGAGAAATTGATAGAACAGCATAAGTTAGGCGAGAAATCTAGAAAAAATACATCACCAAACATAACCCGTAACATGAACTGGTTATTCTCATGCCAGTTTAACAAGACAATATTTGTTACATGAAAGGTGTGAATTAGAGCTTCTAGCGCTATAATTGAACCTTAAACCAGGGGAATGATCCCTCCTGATTTATAATTCAAACAGTATACACCTTGGCCTCGCTGTGGCACTACACAAATTAAGCCTTACTTTAACACTTACCTGGCATGATCTGATGACACTGTCCATCTGACAGACACACGTTGGCCTTACTGGTGATAGCCTTCATTTCGGAGATTATTGAATTGTGCTAAAATATAATAATAAAAACGTCAATACGGCTCTTCCACCTCCTCTATTACCATCATCTCCTACCTAGTGACAAAACATATATATTCTTTGCATATCGTCATCGCTATTTCACAAGCCTTCTTTATAATACAATTTGCTGAACAAAAACTGACAGTACAGGTAGATTGCACAGTGTGATTTACATCACAATTTCACTATAATCAACATTGTACTTATTTCATTTCATTTCATCAAATTTTATTGACAAGATGTCGTAGTCAATTGGATTGAATAACAGGCAAATCCTTTATAAATTCTCTCCGTCAAATGGCCAAAGTGGAATAAACAAGGAGACATAATATTTTAGACATGTTGCAAATGAAAAAAATAACACAAAATAATTCATATTAACACAAGGCTATGGGGGAGTAACTCCCGAAGGAAACATCTCACACACCTCATACACACTTACACACACATACAAGTACATGTACAAATACATTTATTTCAGCATATATATACACAATCATAGACAGACATATGTGCATATATTGCACAGGTCATTGTGCTTATATTTATCAAACCCCTGCTTACACTCGCGACAATAAAATGACAACAGTCAGAGAACAGGAACCAACCATTGTATGCTACAAACATGACATGACAGGCATATAAAACGTTTTATGGTTGGGATTATTTCACATCTTATGATAAGATATTTCGGTAAATTGGCGAGTTTTCGTTCTCATGGGGGACTTAATGGAAACACTTATGCTAACAGATTACAAATATATTAAAACAACTAATTTTTACTGTCAAATATATCGATGTTGTGTCATCTTTATAAAAGGAGAACATTATTTCCCAAGTCGACCGCACGTAGCCACTGAACTTAAAATAAACAACACGACAGACTCTCCTATATTAGCCGTTTACCTCGAGCTTTACTCATATCATGACTAACAGGGGTGGCTTACTCCTAAGCAGTATGATTTCGAGCTTTGTATTAGGACTTTATCCTTTCTTTATAGTTACAACGCTGCTTCTTACAACAACCTAATTTACATTATCGCAATTTCTGTGAAGACGGGTAACCTTACAACGCTTGAGTTTGAGATTCACATCGACGGAGACTATGGAGACGTTCTATGGTTGAAAACATGATCTCGTTGGGAAAAAATTATATTTCCTTGAACTACGTGAATGTCGACATTTATATTGATGCTCATTATGACGCCTTACCGTATAGTGGTTTCACTCACCCGCCTTTGAGAAAGCGTCATTACGTGGATTTGGCTTAGATTTGACTAACGAATAAGGTCGATGGAACTGAAGACGCTTACCCTCCTGGATTACCTGTACATACCATTCCTGTATTTTGTTCAAGCGTATCAATGTAAACCTTTATTTTGTTTATATTTCATCATTATATCATCGATTTTGAGTTCGAATAACGGTTTGGTTTATACACGTCGGTATTCACTTTTTTTCTGAATTTCAACTGAAATCTCAGAATGTGTGCTAAATATCGGTCATTAATACGAAAGATATTATTTCAGTATGGGGTTGATTATGTCACTTAATTCGACAACACGTTATCACACGTCACATTAAGTGTTGTGAATACATAGAAATTGAAATATAAAGTAAGGTACATGTAATCGCATGCCAGCAGTCAGGTTGTACCAGCAGTCAGTTAAGTTTTAGAGTACAGATTGACCCTTTTTATACATAATTGTCCTGGTAAACCTATGTCGAGAAATGTAATAGCTAGAGTAATGGCGCCAAACTATGGACACCTTATTAACGGCGTATTATGACGTTGTATCAAATTGTCTTTTATGACGTCATCTATATGTGAGCTCATCTTTTTGAATAAACAACAATGAAGTAGAGTCGTATTCCGGACCTCATTTATAGCAAACCAACACAACCATAAACCAATACATTGGTGCCGTAACAAAAGGGAATATGGAGCTGTCCAAACTAAGACAAGTGAGAGCCGGAAACAAGAGCACTATTACTCGATTACTGACAAAACTAGAGGACTTCACTTCATCAAAGAACCTAACAGCTGTCCGCACAGTCTTGGGATCACTGTCGGACAAGAAGGAAGTTATTCAACAACTCAACGAGAAGATCATTCTACAAATTAAGGAGGAGAACATAGAAGACGAGATCGTCGATACAGATGAGTATTTGTTCGATTTAGAATACAAACTGTCCGAAATCAAGGCATCCATTGGTGAACACGAAGTATTTTTTTCACACCCTCATCAAACAACCCAATCTGTGTTGAACGCCCACGCCCAGAATTTCACCCCACACGTCCAGAATTGTACCCCCAGAGTAGACAGAGTGAATGCGAATCAGTCAGATTCCAGTTTCAATCCCGTTGGCCATCAGCTGTCATCGAGTTCAACAAACTTCCCAAGATGAACCTTCTAACATTTAGTGGGGACATTTTGCAATGGCGGACATTTTGGGATTCGTTTCAATCTACCATTCATTTCAACGCTAGTTTGACGGAAATTCAGAAGTTTAATTACATCAAAGTCCAGCTACATGGTCAAGCATCACAGTGTATTTAAGGTTTACCCCTCACCATTGATAACTGTGTGCAAGCCATTGATATCCTCATACAACGCTTTGGACAACCACATCAAGTCAAAAACGCGTACATGGAAAATCTTATCAACATCCCAGTCCCGCGATCCAACGCTAGTGGCCTCATATCATTCTATGGTAGCAGTGTACAGTAGAGGGTTGTGGCCATGGGTGATATTTTTGTTAAATGGCTAACCCCTGTATAATAATATGTAAAACAATTATAAACATAAAACTGTACTAAAATTGGTATAAGCATGATAAAGTGGGCTATGTGAGCTTCACATTTGTAAAAAAGAAAGAAGATTTCTTTGGTTCGAGAATAAAATTTTGGCCATAATACGAAAGGGTGCGTACACATGAAAAGCTAGCTTTACAGGAGGTAAAATTTTGAAGTTTTACAATTTTACTGGGACCCAGATAATTCTGCAACCAGGTAGGTAATCTTTAATTTCAGACAGAGCTTAGGAAAAAAATTACTAGTTGCGGGGGTCAAATTTTGGGTTNATGTATTGTAAATGTAATGCAGTTTACAAATATATATACATGTATACATGTGTTGTGTAGGGTAAATCCGCTGTGTTTACATTTCCTCGACATGTGCCTTGTTTATCAGAGTCGGGCCATTTCTACTGTATTCTGCTACCTATGATAAAATGGAGTCCTACATTCGCGGATTAAATTCGTTAGGACAATGTGAGTCATCATTTGGATCACTTCCCGTTCCGATTATCAAAAATAAACTAACGCCCGATTTAAAACGGAACATTACGAGAGACCACGGAAACGATAACTGGGATTTACAATCCTTGCGTGAAGCAATCAGAAAGGAGGTTTGCATTTTGGAGTCCGGACAAACGGAACCGGAAGTAGTACCAACGGCATCATTTGTAACGGGAACTTTCGATAACAAACCACCTAAAGGTAAGGGTCAAGCCTTACATTCCACAAACACCGAGAACCGAAAGTCTTGTTTTGCCAGGATTCACATTCGCCAAATGAATGCACAAATGTCACAGATTATATAGTGCGCGTTGATAATGTAATGGCAAAGAACATGTGTTTTAACTGTTTCGGGTCACACAAAGTAGTTGATTGCCGTTACAAGTTCAAGTGCAGGAAATGCGGGAAAAAACACCATACCAGTAGAGAACAACAGCGACCTCAGCCATCCAGTACTAAATTTACAAATTCCGTAAGGAGTAACGAGAAAGAGGAGAAACTAGGGAAAACTTCAGCGCTTCATTCTACATCCATCACCACACACTCAGATGTCCTACTAAAAACCGCAGTAGCGCCAGTATGGTCAGATGATCAGAACACTTTGGCTAACATTCTTCTCGACAAAGGTGCGCAAAATTCGTTTATAACTGAAGACATAGCCGAGAAGTTAGAGAATGAGTGCGTAGGAACCATTTCCATTAGGATAGCTGCCTTCGGAGGCAATGAACAACATGCACGTCATTTGAAGACCGCGCGCATTTCTGTTGAAGCCTATAATGGTGACCGAATTCCAATGGAGGTTGTAATTATACCAAAGATCACCACACCTATAGAGATCAGAGCCCGGAGTAAAGTGTTACTGTTGCCGTACTAAAAAAATCTACCGCTCGCGCACCTAGTCTCAAACGATGACAAGTTCAACATATCACTTCTGATTGGAGCAAACTAATATTGGGACATAGTGCAAGATCAGGTAATCGGATACTTGCTATTGGGTCCAATCGATACGTCGAATGCTTCTACAATGTTGACCTCAACAATGGGATTTATGAATACATCAATCATGAACATTTTGATCAACCACAGTGCAGAGGGTGTAGACTTTTTGGAAACTTGAATCGCTAGGTGTGAGTGAGGACGAGCAAACGCCGAAACAAGTCAGAACGATTGAGGAGTACGGAGCAACGTCAATAGCATTGAATGATGGAAAGTACTAGGCAAAACTTCCGTTGAAACAGGAATCTGGTTTCTTACCAACAAACTACGAGATTATCAAACATAGGACGGAAAGTGTAGTCAGACGGTTGGAGCGAGAACCGCACTTACTGACACATTACAGCAACATAATGGAGGAGCAAGAACAGCGTGGATTCAAAGAGAAAGTTCCAGACACGGAAAACGACGGAAAGAAAATCCAATACATCCCTCACCATCCTGTTCACAAGGATTCGTCAACAACACCTATTCGTATTGTGTTCGACTGTAGTTGTAAAGAAAAAAACAGGAACCAGTTTGAACGAATGTCTCGAGTCTCATGCACCGATAATGAACGATTCAACCGCAATACTTATAAGGTTCAGGCTACAAAGATACGCAGTTTCATCAGACATCGAGAAAGCTTTTTTAAAGATTGAACTGGATGAAGATGATCGTGATGTTACACGTTTTCTTTGGTGGAGTGACCCTACAGACCCTACGAGTCCTCTCATCTCCTACCGCTTCAAGGCAGTATTATTCGGAGCAACTTGTTCGCCTTTCATCTTGAACGCAACGCTTTTAAAGCACTTCAAGGACAACCCGAGCGAAGTATCAGAGATCTTGGAGAAGGATTTGTATGTTGACATTGTCCTCATGAGTTTCAAAAATGAAAGTTCAGTTCTACAATTATACGAAGAATCGCGAGATCTCCTCAGCAAAGGAGGGTTCAATTTACATTCCTGGAACTCAAACAGCGGAAAACTTCAGGATCGTGCAAAATTGGAAGGAACACTTGACAACGGCACATTGGTGAAGATCTTAGAACGTCGAAGAAGACACATTGCAATATCAAGGAAACAAATTCGGAACGCATACACACCCGGAGGTTACCAAGCGCGCCATACTGCAAGAGTCTTCGAAAATCTTCGGTCCTTTGGGATTACTGAGTCCAGTAACTGTGCGAGCGGAAATGCTCATGCAAACGCTATGGAAGGAGACAAAGGAGTGGGATGAAAGTCTACCTACTGATGTTCAAACGCAATGGAACTATCTTTCGGGGGTCATCAAGGAAATAGTGAAAATCCAAATCCCTGGAGCCCTTCAGTCAGCAACACAAGGAAAATTACGACTACACATCTTTAAAGATGCCAGCTAACGAGCGTATTGAACATGCGCATACTTAGAGACACCAGATCAAGTGACACTTCTTATGGCGAGGAACAGAGTGGCATCCATTCGTCCTATTACACAACAGCCACTTGAGTTAATGAAGCAGTTAGGGGAGCACCTCTAGCTTCACACATACAAAAAAAGCATTGAAGTTAATGACATTATATTCTGGTGCGACAGCCAGATCGTCCTGAGCTGGATTTCATCAAGTAAACGACTGAAGCAGTTTGTTGCTAACCGCATGATGGAAATCAAGGAGAAAACGGGACACTTTCCATGGAAATATTGCCTAACTGACAGCAACTCAGCAGATCTTCTCACGCGTGGCATTTCCGCAGCTCAATTTAAGGATAATACACTTTGGTGGAAAGGACTCAACTGGCTTACAGACGATTCAAAATGGCCACACTGGGAAAACAGCCCCAGGAGCACTGTGACTGGAGTGGATTTTACCGGAGCGCTTACTGTTAAAGATCACGACAACAATGACCGAAAAGTATATTTATGTCTGTTCACGTGCGCGTCTACGACGGCTATTCATCTGGAACTTGTGAATGACCTTACGTTCAATTCATTCATGTTAGCTTTTTACGCTGCGTCAGTCGCCGATCATTGCCGAGCATTGTAATATCCGACAACGCTTCGACGTATAAAGCGGCAGCTGAGGAGTTTGTAAAACTATGCCAAGCGGATAAACTTTGAGAAGAAATTGGGAGACATGGAGTAGAGTGGATATTCATCCCTTACCGTGCCCCGTGGTATGGGGGTTGGTGGGAAAGGCTAATTAGATTAAAAAAAACTACCCTTAAGAAAGTATTAGGGAAATCTTGAGTTGATATAGAGACACTAAACACCATCGTCACTGAAGCGAAAGCTATGCTGAATGACCGCCCCTTGACCTACATATCAACAAATCCAAACAACCCAGCACCACTTACACCTTCCAAACTGCTATTCGGCCGAAGATTGACGTCCCTATCCTATCCGTTCACTGACGACACCGCTATGGAGCCAAGTGTTATCAACCATGTTAAGGTTAATGAGCGCATAAAGAGACAATCACGCATCCTAAACAACTTTTGAATACAATGGAAAACTGAGTAATTGACGTCGCTTAGAGAGTTCCATCGTATATCTGGAAATAATGACTGTAAAATAACGGTCGGAGATATTGTGCAAGTCCACGGGGATTTTAAACGGGTAGGCTGGAAGCTCGCCGTCGTGGAGGAACTCATGGAAGGCCGAGATGGACAAGTCCGAGCAGCAGTCATCAGGAACAAAAATTGGAGTGATAAACAGACCGATCACTAAACTGTACCCCCAGAAGTTAGTGACAATGTCGATGGTCTCAGAATCCGGAGAAGCGAAAGACTTAAACAAAAACACAACGCGAAGTGACAATTATAATACGATCACGAACTAAAAACTGAGAAATGAACGGGAAGTTAAACAAAATGATTTACGCGTGTGAATTGAATATATAATCGTGTATATTCCAACTATTTACCATATTGACAATTATAAGGATATCGAGAACAATTAATTAATCGCAACTTAATTTATACATGTATGTCTATACATTGCTATTCATAATATGATGAACATTGTGCGGCCCCGAGAATGTCGGAAATTGTTATTGTTAAGTGTATATACATTTGAACTTGTATATTGAAGGATTATTTAAAACCATTCTGTGGCCCCGAGGATGTCGAGAAATGTAATAGTTAGAGTAATGGCGCCAAACTACGGACACCTTATTAACGGCGTATTATGACGTTGTATCCAATTGTCTTTTATGACGTCAGCTCATATGTGAACTCATCCTTTTGAATAAACAACAATGAAGTAGAGTCGTATTCCGGACCTCATTTATAGCAAACCAACACAACCATAATCCAATACAACCTACCATTCCATAATCCAACCACCTTTTCCTGTGAATGTCAGAGCATGGATTAACTACTAGAGTCAAAAGTGGTTTTTCTACTTAAAACAAAATTGTCAAGATTGTTTATTGAGAACGAAGGTACCTGGATAATCTTCTAGGAACGACGGTGTCTTCGTTGTAACTTCCATCGAAATATGTGTTAAACACATGGACAAAATATAATTAGAAATGTGTTGATCTGCAAATCATTGTTTCGTCTACTTACCTGTTCAAGTTTGTCTTTGCCTTCAAGAGAGTTAATACCAATGGTGGTATTAAGTTTTTTAAACAGTCTTCGCAGGGTCTTGTTTTGAAAGCTTGTCCAATCGAACATACTTGCTTTCTGAACAGCTACCTGTTCATATTCTGCAAATTTCAAAGTGGTGTCTACCTACAAAATACAAACAGCTGTTTTTGGACTCGTTTAATCGGTCCATTTTTCAATTTACGGAAAGCTCCTTGAATGCACTTTTTGTGTGGAATTTGAATCCTAGCCGTAAGTCAATACATATGACACACTCGCGGTATACATTTGTAATAGGGGCATAAACCTTCGAATGCACTTTCCAATCTGGGATTGCTGAATGATCTCCTACAAATCATGCAACGTTTATATGATTATACAAACTATTTGATATACAAATATGTTTCGTTACAATATCAGCCGTTATGGTGGAATGAATGTAATACGAATGATGAAAGGACTTAAATGGATTTTTTATTTTAAATAGCAGTTATCTTTAACATAACCTGCCTTTATTTTTCTGTTATGATCGGTGATATTGGTAGCATACTGCCATTCAGCATTTGCCATTTCGGAGAAGATATCGGTAAACAATTTATCATTCTGCTCGATCCATTCCCATCCTGCTTCCTCACTGTCAATTAATCCTGTTGTCGATGAAGGGCACGACAACTCCGTCCATCCCGACCGTTTATTTTTGTTCTGGATTTTCAGCCAATCAGTCAAAGGTTGAAAGTATTCAATAAAGGCTCTTGCGTCCATATTTCTTTGTCCTGTCATGATTTCCAAGGCATCTGGCCATGACTTGGACGACCCAAGACTGAGTAATTCTCTATAAAGGTACAAGGTAATAATTATTCGTAAACATACTGTGTGATCTCATCAAAGTTGAGCATTTGCTCAATTTCACTGATTTTGCAGTTTTTCGAGCATAATTTCCATGCATGAAAACGTAAAAAAGGTTGACAAGACTACAAAGATAAACCCATCCTGTTCACCCACAAATAACATAGATTCTCATCTTCCCACTCATGAGTTTATCACCTAAAACATATCACTCGCAAATATTATTTGGTCATAGAGGTTTGAGATCGTCCGATAAAAGCACATAATGTGTTACCTGCACACTCTGTAGCCTGTCATCAATACATCCTTTATTGTCATAAGTACATTTTGCTACTACACACACCTGAGTTTGTCACCTGCAGCAGTTGAGTTGTATATATCACAGAGATAAAGCGGACCCTTGTGCCCAGCGACATCGCACAAAGATTTCTGGAACTGGAACTGCAGTATGAATGCCACGAAATACCTGGGAAACAACCAACGGTCTATCAAATTGCAGTATTTGAAATGTTTACGTAGTTTGTTAACCTCTCAAATTCTCAAAACATGTTTGTGTTTTTTTCCCCCAGTATTCATCAATATCTTTTTTCTCTCAATGTATTTCATTTTTTTCCTTATCTTGAAATGTTCTACACTTTTAAAATATATGTGGCTGTCTTGTTTTAATTCAAAGTAATTATTTACACACCACTTGACTTACCTTATATAAGATACTTGGAAAGGTACATGATATTTAGATCCCGGGTCAAAGTCCTCCGCTGTCCTTTCGACAGGTGGAGAAACACCCTGATATTTACACCTGAAGAATATATACAATTAACCCGTAAAAACGCCTGATTTCAATCTTATCAGGCTACCAATACCAATTACTGCCCTGGGCTCATTAGTATTTCCTGTACAAGACAGTGAATTCAGACAGGGACATACCTTGTCGGTCGTGTTTTCTAGAGCTTTTGTCATCATTTGAACCCTATTGAGCTGATAGGTCCAGCTTTGATCTAAGCATCAGCGGCAACGTTTGCTGGACATTAAACTATGATATTAAATTATCATATATAATGTAATTTTAGCTATGCCCCAATTAGACTTATTGACGTTAACTCGTATAACCTAAAAGAAGGTACTACACCAAAGGGGATTACGTCATTTACCGCAATGTTTGAATCGGTCATATCCCGTATACATGTAACCCCAAAAACCTGGCTATGCCTTAAAGAAATTGCTTCTTTCAGGACAGCCCTTGATAACAGTATATATTGTCCACGTTTAATATAGTGATATTGTATATTTAAAATCAAGAGCAGTTGGAGAGCTGATTTTGATAAGGCGCCAAAATGGATTGGAGGGAGGGAAACATTCGAACGAAACAGTAGTGTCACAAGCTTACGGACCTACTTAACTTAAATTATAATGTTTCAGAGATGTGGCTCTGTTTCAGATACCTGTATCCATCAGTTGTCCCTACAATGTCTTACCGTAACTCCCACCATTTAGAGTTGTAGTGCTGTGGAAGAGTGTCTCCTCTGAAAACACCCCACCTCCAACTATCTAACGTGAAGCTGAAGGGAAGGAACGCCAACTTATCTAATGCAATGTTCATCAGGAAGTTGATGTCACTTTCTGTTAACAAAATAAAAATCGTTGCAATAATGTAGCATTGTGATATAATATCAAAGTTTTACTTTCTTCACAAACAATGTACGTAATAAACGTACTTTTGTGTAGAAAGTAACACTTTGATATTACATATCTCCAAACTAATGAATCTTGATGAAATCATTGTGATATATTTATGGCAAATGTTAAATGATGAATATGGTATTATGTATGACAGATATCATTCGAACTTATCTATTAATAGATACATAATCTATAAAAGAACTATTTGGCAACCGTATGATATAATTTTACAGAAAACCTTTGTTTTTTAGTTCTTTTGCAATAAGTGTCTTACACACGATAGAAGATATATGGGACACTTTGCAAAATAAATTTAGAAACTATCAAGAAATATATGGGAGGTTTATTGATAGAAGAAACTGCATTTCTGAATTGCCAAGACTAAAGTCTGTTCCGGAAAAGTATAAAAGAATGATGAAAGTGAAAGAAACAATAAGTGAATCTGTTGAGTATTCCACCCAAACAAGATTCAACATTACATGTTGTAGATAAATACAATAAACATATCGATTATAGAACACTAAAATTGTGTTCTATTCGTAGGAAATTGAATGGCAATACGGAACCAGAAGTATATAGGAAATGGGAAAATATCTGAAAACTATTTTCATGGTGTCAAATTGGGCAAAACTGTTTTAAAATACTGACATCTTTAAAAATTAAGGAGTTTCAATGAAATGTGTACACAGAATACATATACAGAAACGAAAATTAAGACGTTTGGAAATTCAAACGGAAAATGTCACTTTTACAAAACCGAAGATGTAGACATACAAAATTGTATATATTATGTAGAAACATTAATGAGGAACACTGTTCCTGGATATAATAACAATGTACTCGATACAGAGGAAAATACTTTACTAAGATATCCAGGGAATAATAATTTTTCAATATTGCTAAATACAGTCATAAGTATTTTGAAATGGAACATATGGAAAGGGAAGAAATGATATAAAGCATAACAGCAAACAACCAAACCTGGAACGAACAAAATTATAAATAAAAAGACAACTGAAAAATGACCTGTGGTTATATTGTAATAGAAGCAATGCTAATAGTTCCGATTGAAACTGTATCATACTTCTATGAAATAATAATTAACATCGTGTTATAGAGGCTTAATGATGAATTGAATATAGATTGTGTGCTTCAGTGTGGATCCTGGTCAATCATGTCGATAGCTCGTATATGTAATGAGAGTTAATATGTTACATTATGTAGGATTTTGTGTAATGTTGCCTTATGTAGGGTTGTGTGTTATGTTGCATTATGTAGGATTGTGTGTAATGTTGCCTTCTGTAGGATTGTGTGTAGTGTTGCATTGTGTAGGATCGTATGTAATAATGCCTTATGTAGGATTGTGTATAGTGTTACATTATGTAGGATCGTATGTAATGTTGCCTTATGTAGGATTGTGTGTAGTGTTGCATTGTGTAGGATTGTGTGTAATGTTGCATTATGTAGGATTGTTTGTAACGTTGCCTTATGTAGGATTGTGTATAGTGTTACATTATGTAGGATTGTATGTAATGTTGCCTTATGTAGGATTGTGTGTCATGTTACCTTATGCAGGTTTGTGTGTAGTGTTACATTATGTAGGATTGTATGTAATGTTGCCTTATGTAGGATTATGTTTGGTGTTGCATTGTGTAGGATTGTGTGTAATGTTGCATTATGTAGGATTGTATGTAGTGTTGCATTATGTAGGATTGTATGTAATGTTGCCTTATGTAGGATTGTGTCTAGTATTGCATTATGTAGGATTGTATGTAGTGGTGCATTGTGTAAGAATGTGTGTAATGTTGCCTTATGTAGGATTGTTTATAGTGTGTAAATATGTAAAGGATATAAGATGGTTTGGAATGCTACATTGTTGGAGATTGTGTAGTAAATTTATATATAAAAAATAGATACATAATCCTACTTTGATATCCCGAAAATCACCTTTTATTTTCACCGGTTTTAAAGAAGAGATACAGTGCAATTTTTGTATGTTGGTCATATCAGATACAGTAAAACTATTAATCAATTTTACCAACGGAGATCATATATTTAGGTTGAGGTGTAATTATAAAGTTTACTTAAGAGATATCATGACAAAGGAGTAAAACATTTTGGGAATTAAACGCCATCTAAAAAGGACAGTTTTGTACCAACACCTAACAGATAGCAGCCCTATAAATAACTAACACGTCAATGAAAACACAAACTTTAAAAGTGATCCGTGAAATATAGAAATGTACAACAGTTAAAACAAAGGCGTACATCATCAGTGATACTGATTAAACTATTAAGAAGTATATATTCAAATAATTCACAATATGTCTACATTATATGCATTTTGAAAAACAAATTACTGTCGCTGAGTGGGAAATGCGGTTGAGCTTAACAAACGAGCATATGAATAAAGTATCAGGTAAAAGAGTGAAAGAATAATAGAGAAAAATACGAACAACATATGATACGGTGTTCTTGGTTCTCCAGCCAGCCTAGTTGTGTTTACAAGCAGAAGGTGTAAAAATGGTTACGGATAAGGATCCAGTTATTATGTCCTTTCCAATATTTCATCATGCGAGCTGTTGATTGTTAGTTGGACAATGAGGTCGAAAAATACAGACTTCTATTTGGTTAATTAGTTTTGATTTCAAACTGATTATGCTTCTTAGAATGTTTTACCTTGTAGACTAACCTTTACTAAAAGATACAAATACAAAAACAGTATTCCTGAATCAACTGTTCTGTCATATGTTAGTGAAATAGTTAATATGCCACATAATTATAACGTGTGTTGGGTCAGATTTTGGTGCTGTATTTGATTTGTTCTACTGCTGCTTTTAAAAAGTAATCAGAGACGATAGTGCTGCAATAGTAATGTCTTCAGTGATCAGAAGTACAATTGTAATCGGATTGCCAGACAGGAAAAGCCTTATATATACCGACAGACTCATGGAATTTTAGCTTCCTTCACAGTACTCTAAACACATTCTCATATTTAAGAGATATTTTTTCCTCCTAATGATTGCTCTATAGATGATGTATGTAAACAGCAGAAAGAAGACAAAGAACCATTATTTTTGCTTGTTTCGTTATTGTAATCAATTGAAGTTAGTGTCATGCATCATTCTCCCCATACATTTTCAACCTCACCTTGATCATTTTCAACGGTGTCGAGTAGTCCAATCTTGTGTAGATGAGTAGGGGTGACCACTGATAAGGCTATTGTGTCTCCAATAGCTTCGTGGAAAGCTACAATAGAAAAAATAATAAAGGTAGTATTCAAAATTATGTCGAAGGTTATGGAAACAGATTTCATTTTTTTTGATAATTCCATAAACAGTATTTAATACATAGAGCTTTTCCACTAAAAAAGCATGCTTACACATTGTATCTTATACAACTGTTTTCAAATTCTAAGACCCTGTGACATATCACTATGACATTATAATTTAAATTCCTCAAAAAATTTGAACACATTATATTGCTTTTGTATACAGAAGAAATGTTATAAAAACCTTATTTGCCACAAAAAATAAAACTGGTCATTTCCTACCATATTTTTTAATGATGCACAAATGCTAGTGCATTGTCCCTGATTATAAGAAAAAACAAATGTCTATTATCAATTTGAAACTTTAAGGTAACAAGTCGATAGCCAAGAGATGTTTGAACAACTGGGTACGGTTTGGTTCGGTTTGGTTCGGTTCGGTTTTGGTTTATTGAGTTGTAGTGTCCTCATAACAACTAATGTCAATTAAGGAGATGTATCAAAATGGTAGTTTCTACTCCTGTTGTCAGTATAATGTGACCGGTTGGAGTGTCCTGCTGGGTGTCTTCGGCAGTATGTTTCATTGAGATAGCACTATAAAGTCGGCATCAGTTCCGCGCTTTCACAAGGAGACAAACACGAACACATCGCAGCCTTCCAAAACACACACGCATACACTAGACGAATGCATCTTGCACACCTGGGAGGCCGTCCTTAAACGGCCATAGCTGTTGATAGGACGTTAAACAATACTAAACCGAACCAAACCATGTTAATAATATAGGGGGGTGTTCTTGAGGCTGTTTGTTAGTTTATTTGCCTCTTAGTGATAGCTCAGGGGCCCGTAACTAAAAGCAGTCGTAGGGTAGAGTTAGGAATATAACGGTATATCCGCTAAGAGCAACGGGACCTGCTTCTCTTACTGCTCTATTAGTTATGTAGGGTATCTGGAAGCATCCCTACTTAGTTAAGATTACCTTCAGACATTTATTGACGTTTTATGGTGTAACTGGTAACATTCTTACTTTCCAAATTGTATTACTTAACTAAGGGTGGCCATACCTTTTCTTTGCATTTAATTACACAGAAAAAAACGCTATCCTGGCTGCCATGAATAGTTAGAAACACGGAAGGCTGTAAACTTTATTTTCCAGAAAATTTACAGCTCTTAGCGATGGTCGAACGAGAGAAGTTTAAGGTTGGTAGGGGCGGCTTACGAACACATTTCAGTTACACTCTTCCAGCATTCTTTGTGTCATCCTAAACCATTCCGTAAATGCTTAGTTAAGAGTGACCTTTCAGTAACGGACTCCTGATGTCGACTTTAGAGTGTTATCACAATGAAATAATACATCGAAGGCACCCAGCACAGCACTCCACCCAGTCACATGTTTCTAACAACAGGTATTCCGTCTTTGCGTATTGCAGAGTTATCTTCTCTTGTGCGCAGGTATTGATTGTAACGTCATTTGTTTGTGAGAGTAACGTCATCAATTTTTGAAAAAACGACATAATTTTCCTACACAAACCAATGACGTAACAATCAATACCTGCTCACAAGAGAAGATAACTCTGCAATACCCAAAGACGGAATAGCAGCTGTTAAGTGACGAATAGCAATATAGCCAAACGTGAGGTGGTGCTGCGGGTGTCACAATAGAAAAATAAAGGAAAAACAGAATAGAGAGAGATAATATCCTAACTATCGTAACTGGGTGCGTTATATACAGTAAAGCCACCGATGAGCCTTTATTAGATGTAATGGCACATAGAAAATTCAAGGTATAAAACGGAAAAGGTGGATTTATCTTTGTCTAGTTCCTCACTCTCGGCCAATGCCTACCCAGCATAACTCTTAGGTTCATCGAGATGCTAGAATCGGATTCCATAATGATGGCATTGAATGATATTCCTATCACATATACCACATTGTTTTGCCATAACTAATCATTAGGAATATCTACTTTCAACAAGACGTTGTGGAAATAAAATCATTTTGGTTGCTATCAAGTCGTATGATTATATTTTAGATATAAAGGCAAATTATGACTGTCTTATCTCATCTTATCCTTAAATCACGTGATACTCCACTAGGATGACTGTTCGTTGACATAAGAAGAATCAAATCTTAATGTTTTAGTTTGAAATTAATTTTAATTTGTAAGGAATTAGGCGTACAGAAAGCACATGTCAGACACCCCGTACGGATCAATTAGGTGTTTCATTGTGTTAACAGTAAGTGATAGTATACCTGGGTTGGCTCCATCCCGGAATGGCATGGACAGGTTCTCATAGGCCATCTGATAGTAGATGTGGCCCATCTCGTGGTGTACCGTGTACAGATCTACCATGGTGATGTCAGTACACATCTTTATCCTACGTAGGACGGAAATATTAATGATAGAGAAAGAGAAACTTTCGACAACAAAGTGTTGGAATGGAGAATCGACAAAAAGAGATGGTAAGGAAAAATGAAGTGGTGTCGGATTGGAATGTGGGGGACGGGGAGGGGGTTAGATCTGGAAGAAGGCAATAGACAATGTATGGATAGGAGTAAAGGCTGCGTGCGGGGGTAAGTGGGAATGAGAGTAAATTTTTTAGACGGATATGGAGGAAAGAGATATATTGAAGAAGTGGGGAACAATGGGTAAGACATGGAAAGGGATAGGTCTGATTATCGATACGGAAGGATTTGGAAAGGAATGATTCATGTTTCCATTTCCTGATACATATCAGCAAAAGCAAGAATGGAGGGATTCTTTATATTGTAAATAGTGTTTGTTAAGGTCTTTCCTGTAGTGATTGTATTTGTCTCTTATTATAACCATTTAGTTTCATGAATTCACTGCAATAACTGTTTTGTGACCTGTAATCAATGTTTGTGTCTAACCTTTAATCAAATTATATATGTCTCACCTGTAATCATAATTTTTTAGGAAATCCCATGCAGAGCCGTGGCAACTAACTTCTCGGTTATTTGGTCGCTCCAGCATGGAGTTTTTCCAAAAGCTATCCCGTAATTTTGGCAGTCCTAATGAAGTGAAGAATTCCTCAGTAATTGTGTACATCTTTTCCACTGTATAATTCTATAAAAGAACATCAAAAGTAGCTAATGATTATGTAAGCATTTCTTTTGCTATTTTTCTTGGAAACAAACTACTTTGTTTATGAAAAAATGTGTCTTATAAATTACTGTTAGGGTGAGGATATTCTAGGCGCTAATTGTAGCAAACTGATCGGTCGGCTGTGTACAACTTAGTTTGTACATAAAGGATTATACGGTCTCAAAATACATAACTGTTCTGCTTATCTTTCGTTTAGGACATATCAAGAGACCCGATCTGACTAATGTTATTATGGATTATGGCGTGATCACGATTTCATGTTATAAACATTCTGAAAAATAAAGGGAAAATTCATAGAGCAGTCAAATCAATTTTGGAAACTTTGCTACCAGAATGCGCATTTATTTATTCATTTTTAGTGACTGCTTATGAAAACACAGAAGTCTGCGATATATTGCGGAAATTCGTCTTTTCCCTAGTAAGTTTCAAATAGAATTCTACCATAAGCATCATTGTCTATAGGGTAAAGTTACCTGAGAGACCATTGCTTCAGTGACGTCGAATCTGGTCTTGTTCTTGAAGGGCTGCATGATGTCAAACAGGTTATCCCAACTCTGTCCCCACATATCACCTAAGTAAAGACATTTCATTTTATAAACGTTAAGCCAAATGAAAGAAGTGACCTAACGAGCATTGGTCGATTAGGAGATTAACACGAAACCATGCTAGTCGTATTGCATTTGCCACTTAACACTAATAAAATCTTCCCCTACCTTGAGGGTGTGACAGAGAAATTTCCAAACCGAGTGGTGATGATTTTTGTTTGTCTAACCCGAGGCTCTGCCGAGGGTTAGACAAGCAAAAAATCACCCCGAGGGTTGGAGATTTCTCTGTTATATCCTCAAGGTAGGGAATGATTGTTTTTTCCCATCATATTATTCCATGTTTGTAAACAAAACCACATGTGGGGTATGTATATCGTCATTCACTCTTGATGACGTCACAATTACCGATGAAGCATTTTAATGACGTCACAGTTGAACACGTGATAATCGGCACGAGGCTATCATTCCCCAGGGGGTTACAAGCTGATCTCTCCCGGCGACAACGGGAAAAACACCTCTGCTGTCTGAATGCAGTAATTCAATGTCTCCTGGTTTAGTTGAATTTGATTATGACCTTGATTGTCTATGGTTTTATGTCATTTAATGGACTAAATTTAATAGTCATTCAACTAATACTTTATACATGTACTTTAATCTGTATTACATGCCAAGAAGTGCAAATTGATAGGTTACTATCTGGTTTGTTATGTATATAAACATCACTAAAAGTATTTAAATAGATTGAATAACAGGGAGAAAACAAAATGTTAAGATCCACTAGCCCTTCATCAAGGTACTTTTGAAATAGTATTTTTCGAAAACAAAAACTTGTTTCCTGCCAATTGCGTTAATGTGAAATGATTATGTTTCGAATGTAGTTGTATCAGATTAATGTATACTGGTCCGACGGCCTAGTAGACACAAACCTTCACTTGTCCACAGACTAAAGCGTCTGGTCTCGGACCATCAGACTCAGGATTTAAGAATTTTCGCATAACGTACCGAGCAAGTGAGCAGGTATGTGTCCTGTAGCCGGGAACATGTGGCTAGGATATATTTCCTGGAGTTTTTCACGGACGTAGGTATGTAGCTCCAGGTATAAAGGTTTCAGTTGCTCCATAATGGCGATAACTTCCTCCTCGAAGCCCGCGGAGTCATATAAAGACAGCCAATACTCCGCATAGTTGTCGAAGTCTGAAGAAAAGAAAGAAACGATAATATTTACAGTTTCAAGTGTAATTGACTCAATAACCTTTTTTGAGGTCATTGCCTTTATTCTCGTGCGCGCAGTGATACATACACCGTGTAAATCTGTCTAAGTTACACTGTAACAACCCGGGGATACCAGATTTGTACAACCCATTTAGTGTATTCATGCAAAAGATACATTTTTGAAATTTATACATTCCGATGACGTCATGTTGTTTACAGCGCCCGATAATGACTGAGAGGACGGCTGGATTTTTTTTTTTACATGTTTGTGTTCATTTACATATGTTTACTTTGATGACATAGTGTAAACAATACCCAGAAATACAATATTAAATTCAATTTTGACAATAACGTTCGATATACGGCAATTTTGCCGTAATATTTTCAACTGCTTCGCCTATTATTCAATTTACCCGAGTTCCATTGTAGTTAGCAACCGATAACCTAAAACTATATATAAAATAGAAAAGTAATCCTGAAACAGTCAGATCTGTTTCAGAACTAGTTTTCAAAGATTAGAAGGGAAAAACCATAATGAACACATTCACAGCATACAAACACCTGTTCTAATGAACAACTTCTTATGTCATTTGTTTGATTTATTTTGTATTGATTTATTTTTTATTGTTGTTGTTAATTTAGGCTAACTGTTATAGTAATCATACCTTTTATATTAGTACGTGTGTACATACTATTCGCTAATTTCTAATTTACATATTAAGCTCGAATGGCGCAGGTCAGGAAATGGCGCCACGTCTTTTGAATGTTACTGACTTCACTAGTCCAAGGCAGAGTGCCCAAGATGTTTAGGGGGAAACCCCACATAAAACTATTCTAAAATAGTCGGTTTTTTTGTAGTTTTAGCTTATATAAATTAGGGAAGGGATTACCGTACTCGATCTGTTTTGAAATTTGCGTCTGTATACTTTGTATATTGTGATTGGAGTCGCCAATAAAACTTCATTTCGACAGTATCTTTACGATATTGGTTTGTGTGTGATGTAACTGGTAACAGCTGTGATCATTTAGGTACAAGCCATGCAGGTTTTTGTGGTGGAGAAAAACCGGAGTACCCGGAGAAAATCCTCCAACCTGTGGCCAGTGTGGTGGAGGGCTAGTGATCATAAAGTAGCCAAACACCACTAAGCCATCGAGGCTCTAAATAGGACATACCGCCACGAATCGCAAAATACAGTGTACAGTAATGTCATCTTACCGGAAAAACTATGTGAAATTTAATCCTACTATGTCTATTGACAAGGCATGTTGGTGTATCCACAGTGTATGTCATATAGTGTAACCTTACCCCCTATTGACCTAATAGCATGGTTGCTGAGGTTGACGAACTGTTCGTATTCTTCCCTCATCTTCTTCCCAGTGACATCCCGCCAGCCTTTCCATGCCTGCAGCAGCTCGTTATAATCTTTAGAATTTGCAAGCAGGCGTGTTAAATCTGTAACGAAAAGTTAAAACGCATTTTCATTTAAATTGAGACTGATTGAAAATAGTTCAAGGTACATGTTGCGGATTTAAAACATTACAATTTTAATCAAACTTCGTTCCTAGAGATTCGGAACCCACCCACCCCATTCTCCCAAACCGGGCCTCTACTCTTTTCCTTATTAATGATTTTTTTTTTTTAAACTTTAAAGCTCCATTGTATTTAAAATTGCGCCAGATGCAAACGTTACTTCAAATTAATATCTTCCCCTCCCCCTCCCTCTCCCTTTCTGGATGTTTTCTTACCGGGTTCAAGTGCCAAGCAGTTTTCTGTAGACTTGTAGCAGACTTTTCCTGTGCTGTAAGTTTTCTCCATGTCAGACTGTATCTTAATGATCTGAAAATAAATAGAAATAAAAATACATTTTAGACTATCTGTCTCACATAAAGTATAAAATAATGAAACTGATATCCAGTTTAATATTTGGCCGTTCCATTACTAAGATGCAGTGCACCGCATCACAAAAACGCTTGCACATGTATACTAGACAAATAAGTAACGTCAATACTCTGAAGTAGGAAGGGAATGCGTTGCCAAAAAGAAAGGAAAAAACCGGAAACTATGTGCTCCAGAAGAGCACCCCTTTCTTGAACTGCATGTGGCATCCGGCCAAGCTCCAGAAAAGTTGAAGCATTTCTTGAACCGCATCTAGCATCCCGTCAAGCCCCAGAAGGGCACGCGTTTCCTGAACTGCATGTGGTATCCAGTCCAGTTATGCCACTAGATCTGTGTGACATGTGGTACCCAGTCCAGTTATGTTAGGTCTGCGTGACATGTGGTACCCAGTCCAGTTACGTTAGGTCTGCGTGACATGTGGTACACAGTCCAGTTATGTTAGGTCTGCGTGACATGTAGTACCCAGTCCAGTTACGTTAGGTCTGCGTGACATGTGGTTTCCAGTCCAGTTATGTTAGGTCTGCGTGACAGTAATGGCTAACAATAGAGCGATCATATCATCCATTACGCAGACACACTGACATCACATAGATGTAAATCAAACAAGCCATGACAATGTGAAGTTCAAGTATCTTCTTTGTAGATTTAAACACCGAGCTCTTTAGTGGTATCATAAGTTCCTAGTGATCGGTTCGTCTATAAAGAAACCCGTAATACTTCGAACAGGCAGTAAGAAAGATTTATATACTCTTTACTTACCTGGATGTAGCTCTCAGGGGCGGATCCAGGATTTCCTAAAAGGGGGGNTATTAATTTTCAGATCATCTATAACGAGCGGTCAATAATATAATTATGCAACTTATGCTAGTATATTTCCGCCGAGCGTTGCAAGTTGCAACTTGGGGTTTTGCGGAGGTGGTAAAATAAAAAACACACTTTAGGGTCAAGATACAAAGTAGACGAGCGTAGCGATGCCAACAAATATTGTTTTAATAAAGAAAATATAGTAAAAACATCAGATAGCGGAAACCCACAATATTTGCTAGGATGCCGTATGGGATGTGTGGGGCGTAGCCCCAGATTTTTTTTATACAAGCTCCGTGAATTATTTGATGCATTTTAAAATGTTAATATGTTCCCATTCCCGGCCGATCAGACCATTTCGGGCCGGCCGGGTGTGCCTCCCCCCTAAATCCGCGCCTGGCTATAAACGCCCTGCAATTATACAAGTGTAACCTGTTTCAATAGGTCCTCGTCCCTGCAAGCACTGAGCCCAATATTCGTGATGAGTCGGAACTGTCTTCGTAAAGAACTGTCGGTGAAGTTTCTCCAGGCAAATGTGTTGGCTTCTTCAGACATGTTTTTCTGGAATTTGGATACCTCTAAATAGTTTTCCAACTGAAATGAAAATGGATGATATTCATATCATAAATGATTATTTCGAATTACGTATGTGGTTTCGATCTGTGTACCGGTATAATTAAAAATTTGAAAATCCGTTGAAAACGAGATAAAGACAAGTAATTTCAAAAGTCCAGGATATTGTTCAAGAATATCAGTCAAATTCAGACCTAGGGTCTAATTTGTCAAATATGTTTTTAAATGCTGTCAAAACAACTTTGATAATGAAAATGTAAACTTGAATAATTTTACAACAATAATGAAACAAGTTATTTTAACTTATACTAATCACTCTTGTTAGCCCGGATGTACCAGAGTTCTCGAAAAAAACCGTGGTCGGGCCGGAACCCCTTACATTTTTACGTCCGATTGGGGAATCGAACCTAAGCAACTTTGATAATATAACATTATACATGTACTGTAAATGTTTTAGAAAGTATGGTTACATTGATGGAATGCTCCAAGGTATCTCAACTACGATTCAAAGACTTGAATAATCCTCAAACGTCTAGGGCTTATACTTTCACACGTTCTCTGCACAAAAGAAATCCTTAAACTTCGAGGGTGAGACTTTTACAAGAAGCTCAACATGTTTTGTGTCCGACCCCTGTGCTTGGAGCTAGGGTAAAATCGGGGTTTTTTTCCACGCATATAGCAAGACGGCGATGAATCCAAGGAAGATCACCCAGATAGCGGACTGTATTTTTATTGTTGACTTTTATTTTATGCTCCATCTCGTTTTAGAAATTCGGGGGTTTCGCTCTCATCGTACATATCATTCACACCTTGCCGTTTGATTAGTTCCATTTATACAAAAATAACCTATCGCTCGGCTGATACCTGTGTGTTGAAGATTGTATACAGGGCAAAATGTGTGTGTGTGGGATTCGTTTTATCTCTCACAAAATCAAAACCAAAGATATTTAAGTTATGATGTATTCCGTAACATCCGCAATGTGGCGCGTACTGTTTGCAAGACATATTCCAAGGGGGTAGAGAAAATACGTAGAGAAAGCTAGATAAAACATCAGTTTTACGAGTCGCTTCCCTTTGTGCTTCTACACAAGAATTTAGGTCTATATCCCGAACCTCCTACCTCCGCGTGATTATGGTCCAACCACAGGTGCACGCAACTACTATTAATATTGATCTTGTTTTAGGCTTTCAGTCGCTAGGTACGTAACTTATTTTAGGCTTTGAGTCGCTGGGTACGTTATATAATGTACCCAGCGACTGAAAACCTAAAACAAGATCCATATTAATAGTAGTTGCGTGCCTCTGTGGTCCGATCAATGAGGATGTCGGGAAAAGGTGTGTCCTCAAATTATGCCAAACTTCCTTCATCCTCATTTGTTGGATAATAATCACGTGAAGGTTGGTAATTTGTTCTAGAAACATCAGTGTCAAAGATATTTACTTTATGAAGTTACTTCAGTTATGACGTTACAATGGTGCTCTGTGCCAAATGCCGCAGTATTCTCTCCTATACAATTAAGGAGTATGTACATATTGTTATAATGACTGAGAAAGTGATATTAATCTCGAGCTCGTGCCGGTGAATAACACTATCTCATGTCTATAGAACTGCATATTCACCTCAATAAAAGTCCATAATTAATAAATATTACTTTCTGATATCTTGATCAGAAAAAGCTACAGATCTAGCTTTCACCAGAATTGAGAAAAGAATGTTATTATAGATAATACGTGTCATAAGTAACATCTACAATATATATATAATACGTGTCATCAGTAACAGCTACAATATATAGATAATACATGGCATAAGTAACATCTCCAATATAAAGATAATACGGGTCATAAGTAACAACTACAGTACTACAATATATAGATACTACGTGTCATAAGTAACGTCTACAATATATAGATACTACGTGTCATAAGTAACGTCTCCAATATATAGATAATGTGTGTCATCAGTAACAGCTACAATATATAGATACTACGTGTCATAAGTAACATCTACATTATATAGATAATACGTGGCATAAGTAACAACTACAGTACTACAATATATAGATATTACGTGTCATAAGTAACGTCTCCAATATATAGATAATGTGTGTCATCAGTAACATCTCCAATATAAAGATAATACGGGTCATAAGTAACAACTAAAATATATAGATAATACATGGCATAAGTAACATCTCCAATATATTGATAATACGTGTCATAAATAACATCTCCAATATATTGATAATACGTGGCATAAGTAACAACTACAATATATACATAATACGTGTCATAAGAAACATATACAATATATAGATAATGTGTGTCATAAGTAACATCTACAATATAAAGATAATACGTGTCATAAATAACATCTCCAAAATATAGAGAATGCGTGTCATAAGTAACATCTCCAATATCTAGATAATACGTGTCATCAGTAACATCTACAATATAAAGATAATACGGGTCATAAGTAACAACTAAAATATATAGATAATACGTGACATAAGTAACATCTCCAATATATAGATAATACGTGACATAAGTAACATCTCCAATATATTGATAATACGTGTCATAAATAACATCTCCAATATATATATAATACAAGTAACATCTACAATATATATATGATACGTGTCATAAGTAAAATCTCCAATATATAGATCATACGTGTCATAAGTAAAATCTCCAATATATAGATCATACGTGTCATAAGTAAAATCTCCAATATATAGATAATACGTGTCATAAGTAACATCTCCAATATATAGAAAATACGTGTCATAAGTAACAACTACAATATATTGATAATACGTGTCATAAGTAACAACTACAATATATAGATACTACGTGTCATAAGTAACATCTACAATATATAGATAATACATGTCATAAGTAACAACTACAATATATAGATAATACGTGTCATAAGTAACATTTCCAATATATAAATACTACGTGTCATCAGTAACATCTACAATATATAGATAATACGTGTCATAAGTAACAACTACAATATATAGATAATACGTGTCATAAGTAACATCTACAATATATAGATAATACGTGTCATAAGTAACGTCTCCAATATATAGATAATACGTGCCATAAGTAACAACTACAATATATAGATAATACGTGTCATAAGTAACATCTACAATATATATATATAATACGTGTCATCAGTAACAGCTCCAATATATAGATAATACCTGTCATAAGTAACATCTCCAATATATAGATAATACATGTCATAAGTAACGTCTCCAATATATAGATAATACGTGTCATAAGTAACATCTCCAATATATAGATAATACGTGTCATAAGTAACAACTACAGTATATAGATAATACGTGTCATAAGTAACAACTATAATATATAGATACTACGTGTCATAAGTAACAACTACAATATATAGATAAAACGTGTCATAAGTAACGTCTGCATCACATACATTTACAGGGTCTACGTGTCCGGACAATTAGTTTATATTATGCAGATTATTGGACTTTCCAGTAAGTTTGTGTCCTTCACTGCTCAGTTCTGATTGCAAAATGGTAATTTTAATCAACAATTTTTCAACGGGAAAATGTTTGTCTATGTTTGCTTTTGTTTATATATGCGTAAGATGGCACTTTATTCGGAACTAGACAAACCATTTTCACATGCTCAAAATCGTTTTACGTCGTTAAATGTAAAAAAAAAAAAAAACTTCTGAAGTTTTGATCACGCGTGCATGCTTTTACATGACTTTAATTGAGGATTGTATGAGTAAATCTCATGCAACCACTTACTATCTTTTTCATTAGTGATCGCTTCAATACTTCTAGCATTGTTGTTGCTCTGATCCTCCAGCTGTTCCGCTGACTGTTATCTTTTACTGTGTAGTTTACTATTCCACGAAACGTCTGTTTTTATATGATTTCGTTGATTGGATACAATTGGAATTGTAATACAATTCGAGAATAGTCTCAGTAGGGCACTGCGCTACACACGACCAGAAACATTCATCAAGTACTTCACGAACTATTGGGAAAAAACAGATGGTTGCAAATGTCGTGACTTTAATTTCAACATTCTTTAAGACATTACTTAGTTACAAAAAAAAAATCACGCAAAATCAGGGAGACTAATGTAAATGCACTAAAAAGAAAACTGATGTCAGCATATGTAATGTTTCAAAACGAGTATCATGCTGAAGGCATTGCTAAACTGTTGTTGTAAACCAAAGCCGTGATTTATTTTTACAGCTTGGGCCTCTCCTGTATATCAGATGACAACAGCACATTAGCTCAAGCAGTAAGAGCCCCTTATCTGAAGAACCTGTCACCGTCAAGGAACGAAGCACGGGGCGGACATTATCAAAACTGCCATTTGTTAAAGGCGAAAACGATGAATGTGTTATCATATGCTACGCAAGACATTACCAAATCATTCGTTCGTGTAATGAAGAAGATTGCGAGTTTTTAGCTAGCGAGGCTAAAGATAGCGGTCACTATGTGCCTAATCTTGTTTGATACGACACAGATATTCTCCGTAGTGTTTTCAATCGCGCTACGCTTATACATTGTGTAAGTGCGAATCGAACGCAAGCACCAAAATATGGCAGTATGTAAAATGTGAACTGTTTTACTTCTTACCCACACTCGCTGTGATGCACTACTTGCCGTTATTAGCGTAATTTTGACCTTCCTAATGCATTTGTACACATTTTGTAAAAACAAGAAGATGTAAGGACCAGTCAGAAATTCAAAATCTTGACCTTCCGAACTTTTGACGGACGCTCCATCGCTATAATGTATATATAATCACCAGATTTCGACTCGATCAGATCCGCTACACGCTTCACCCCGAAAACAAATCTTTAATCATTTTCCCTGAATACATGCCCGCTATGTTAGATCTCCATTCGACATATGTACAGGCAATTGCTGGAACTGTCCTACAAACAGTATCAGTAAGGGAAACAGTTGTCATAGAAGTCTGACGTGCTAGATAACTCCACACCCTTT